GTAGAGGCATTTGCCCAAGGGTAGATCTGGAGGTCAGCAGAGCCAGCCAAAAACTGAAGTCTCCCAGATGCTCTTCTATTAGGCATCCATTTAAATTTCCCCCATCTGATAATTAACAGAGGGGGCAACTAGAGGGTTCAGGTGATGCCAGGAATTTAAGTCACTAAGCATAGTTCAGCGATCAGCCTTACTCATTTTGGGTTGTATATATCTGGCCTCATTTCCCCTTCAGCTTCAAAAAGAATATAGTGGACCACTCTTTCAAAGGTCTTAAAGGTCAGTGTGGACTGTTTTAAAATTTTTTGGTACCAGGGACTGGACCCAAGGGGGTTTAACCACTGAGCCATATCCCCAGCTCTTTTTAGTTTTTCTTTTGAGAGAGTCCCACTAAGTTGCTTAGGGCCTTGCTAAATTGCTGAGGCTGGCTTTGAACTTTGAACTGATCCTCCTGCCTCAGCCTCTGGAGCCACTGGGATTACAGGCATGCTCCACCATATTTGGCTGGCTAGTGTGGAGGAACTGTCATCCATCTTTCAACCTCATCACAACAACAGGTACTACCTGTTGACACCAGTGTTCATACTGTCCCATATTTACTCTTTCCCTTTTAACCACAAGCTTTTACTTCAGTCTACTATTTTGTCCCATTTTGTTCTTAAACTGTCAAAAACTTCCAAATACCTGTGTGTGTGTGTGTGTGTGTGTGTATTCAATTTCTTTTCTTTCTTTCTTCTTTCAGTATTGGGGACCAAACCCAGGGCCTTGCACATGCTAGGCAAACACTTTATCACTGAGCTACATGTCCTATCCTCCTGTGTTCCAGTTTCATCTCTGGTAATGATAACACTTCACAGTTTTGAAAGTCTTGGTTCTAGGGGCTGGGGATATAGTTCAGTGGTAGAGTGCTTGTCTAGTATACACAAGGTCCTGGGTGTTGTCTCTCTCTCTCTCTCTCTCTCTCTCTCTCTCTCTCATACACACACACACACGTCTTGGTTCTGAAAATGGTGCTGGTGAGCATTCTGAGATCCCTGCCTCAGTCAGTAGTATGTCCAAGCTTTCATCAGGGGACAGGGAGCCTCTTGAGGAAACACATGTGGTTTTCATTGATTACACAGCTATAACTGGCTCAGAGTCTTCCTTCCCTACTCTTTGCTCCCCAGCCCCATGCCCAGAGCAGGAAAAGTTGCTGAGAATGTGCTTCTTTAGCTCATTCCTCTTCCCAGCTTAGCTCTTATCACAGTCCACCAGATCAACACTGTTATTTTCTTAGAACTATAGTCTATCACCTGGCAGAGTGATACACACCTATAATCCCACATGGGAAACTAAGGTAGGAGGATCATAAGTTTGAGGCCAGCCAGGGCAAGTTAGTGAGATCCTACCTCAAACTGAAAAATAAAAAGAAGGACTGGGCATTTGGGTATGTACCTAAAACAAAACAACCAACACCACCACAAAAAATATCAAAATAAAAGCAGAACTGTAGTGTTTCTGTCTAGGGTAAAATTCCATTTTCCTCTATCATTGAACTTGGCTTTTCTGGCTTTCAGAGAACATGCTGGATTCAGAGCTCTTGGCTTATTTTTCTCCAGGCCATGAGTCATATTCACACATTTTATTTTTTGTGGCACAACAGGGTCGGCTCCCCAATTCACAGAAGGATGATTAAAGACTGTGTATCCCTTTTACTTTTATATTCACTTGAATACAATTTACTAAAATCTGGAGAAAACTCATGGGGGCTGTGCACAGTGACCACAAACAGTAGCCTCCCTGGTGGTGCACGCAGCCAGTTGTTTTTTTTTTTTTTTTTGGTTGCCGCAGGGACCTTGGAGACAGCTATTTCCAGTGGACGTTCATGTCTCTGACTTCATGCAGGTACCAATCTAGGCTCCAGACAGGTATGTGGGGTGTCTTTGGGATGTGTCAGGGCACAGTGGCCAGGGTTCACACTGGCCAAGTCTTTATGACCATCCACACCATGCTGCAGAACCAGGAGTATGTAACTGAGACTATGCAGGGTCACATTTAAGTTCCCTGTCCTAGGGTTGGGGAATATAGCTCAGTGGTAGAGTGTTTGCCTAGCATGCACAAGGCCCTGGGTTTGATGCCCATCACTGCAAGAAGGAGAAAAAAGGAAAGAAGAGAAAGAATGAGTTCTCTGTCTATACAATATCCACATCTCAAAGAGGTAGGGCCATAATTCAGGTGAGTTTGGAGACATGATGGCTGAGAAGGAGCTTATCCCAAATGGCTGTGGCAGGCCCTGGCTCCTAAGGGTTTCCACTGGGCAGCTTCTTTCTTACTTACGCCTACTAAAATAAAAGAGGAGGGAGACATTTCGGCATTTCTTCCTGCCTTTCACTCCTGATTTGAATTTTCTCCAAAGCACCTTTATCACCTTCTGTCATACTATATAGTTCATTTGTGTTAGCTCTCTCTCCTCACTAGAATGTAGACTTTTTAGGGGTTGTTTTTGTATTGGGAATTGAAGCCAGGGGCACTTTATCATTGAGCTACATCCCAACCTCAGTCCTAAATTTACTTATTTACTTAATTGGTACTGGGGATTGGTCCCTGGGGAATTTTAACCACTGAGCCACATCCCCAGCTCCTTTTTAAAAATTCTTTGACACAAGGTTGTTCAGGGCCTCACTAAATTGTTGAGGCTGCCTCAGCCTCCCAAGTCACTGAGATTATAGGAATGCACTGCCACACCTGGCTTAAAATGTAACTTTTTGAAAACAGGACTTTTTTTTTCATGTTATATCTCAAAAACCTATTTACCAAGTTCACACAGAGTTGTAGCTCCAGAACTCAGATCAGCGCCTTACACATATTAGCTATTCAAGAAATGTTGAACAAACTGTTGAATGAATAGTTTTCTTTCAATAGGTCTTCCTTATTTCTGGGCCCTACCACTTCCCTCTCCAACAAAAACCATGCCTTTCCATTGGCTCTAGGTAGCTCCCCTCCATCTCCAGCTACTGACATTACATCATTCTGTAGGACCTTCTCACTCCTCTGTGGCACTATCCCTTAACCTCCCCCAGCAATCTCACCCTCCCCTGAATCCACCGCATCCCAGGTATGTGTCCCTCATCTAGAATTCAGCATTTTCTACTTTGTGTGTGTATGTGTGTGTGTGTGTATATATATATATATATATATATATATATATATATATATATATATATATACATATATACATATATATACACACACACACACACACACAAATATACTTTTCCTGAATAATGTGACTGCAATCAGGCCAGTAGTAGACACTGGTTAGTATTTCCTGGGCAAAGCTGATTTCCTGTCCCCTTTCCACTCCCTTTTCCCACAGCTCATCAGCCAGTGCTAAATGGACCCAGGACAAGGACCCAGATGTGGGCCTGATACTTTCAGGCTGGTCCATAGTGAGGGGAGTTATATCTCAAACACCTATTTACCAAGTTCACACAGAGTTGAGGGACATACAAACCAAATGTCAATTTGCTGACTGACCCTGAGGAATGGTGACAGACCAGGTGGACTGGAATACTTGAACTGGCCTAACCAGTTGATCTCCCCATGCGCTGAACCTGCTTAGTAAATGTAAAACAAATGTAACCACCTAAAGTCAGTTCTCTGTTAAGGCAAGAGCTTCTCTTTGCTACAGGAGCCACCTGACCACAGAAATCAGAGCTCAAGTCTCCTTAGTCAGGATCTAGCCCCAGTTAGTCAGTGCCAGCATGGGCCTTGCCAAGGCTCACTTCTATACTTCTTTTTTTTTTTTTAAAAAGGTTGTTTTTTTTTTTTTTTTTTAAGAGAGAGATGAGAGAGAGAGAGAGAGAGAGAGAGAGAGAATTTTAATATTTAAATATTTTATTTCTCGGCGGACATAACATCTTTGTTTGTATGTGGTGCTGAGGATCGAACCAGGGCCGCACGCATGCTAGGCGAGCACGCTACCGCTTGAGCCACATCCCCAGCCCTCACTTCTATACTTCTGAGGATGACCAGACCCCTTCTGTTCACTTCTTCAAACTGGTTCATAACACAACTGAGTAGACTTAACCTAAATTATAGTCACTCTCCAGCCCCTCACTTGTCTGCAAGTTCCTGAGGGTCCACACTTTGTAGGTCTCAATAAGTATGTCAGCTAATTTAGGACAGGAAAAGCTGCTTTGGCAGCAAAGAAAGGAAGGGAAAACCTCACTCAATTCCAAGGGTCCCTGGGTCAACCAGTTTCATGCACTGTTTTGATCTGAAACATAGAAGCTACCTGTTCAGAACTAAGAAGTACCTACCTACAAAGCCCTGTGCTTTGAAGAACTATTCCTAAATACTTAGGCCTTCATTTGTTTGCCTTGGAAGTTTCTCTTTCTCATACTTCAGCCAAGTTTTGAGATTGGAGGGTGGGAGAGAGAGACTTCTGCCTCTGTTGACTTTCTCTTGTCCCTTCGGTTCCACATACAACTCAACAGCAAGTAGGGGCTTCCATTTTCAGAACATGAAACAAAGAACATACTGACCCTGGGGGCCACTGAATCCAAATTACACAGGCATCACATCTCTGCACTGCTGACTGGCAAAGGAGCAATGGTTTGTATAAGTAGCAGGTGCAGGAGAGGTGACTCCTGCCAGATGGTGCTAAAAAAAGGCCCAACTCTGATACACAGGACTCCTTTCATTAACCCCTCCAAGACCAAGGAAGAGTGGGGGAGGGTTGCCTCTCCTCTGCCTTTTGGGGATTCTACCTCAAATGCCCTCCTTCATCTGTTACTTATGTGGGTTTTTTTTTTGTTCTTTTTTGTACCAGAGATTGAACTCAGGGGCACTAGGCCACTGAGCCACATCCCCGGTGCTATTTTGTATTTTACTTAGAGAAAGGGTCTCACTGAGTTGCTTAGCACCTCACTTTTGCTGAGGCTGGCTTTGAACTTGCAATGCTCCTGTCTCAGTCTCCCAAACTGCCAAACTGCTGGGATTACAAGCATAAAGCCACCCCGCATGGTTTAATGTGTTTTATTTTATTTTTGTTGTTGTTGTTTTTCTGGTACCAGGGATAGAACATGGGTGCACTTAACCACTAAGCTATATCCCCAGCCCTTTTTTGAGACAGGATCTCACTAAATTGTTTTGGCTGGTCTTGCAATCTCCCTCCCTCAGCCTCCCAAGTAGCAGGGATTACAGGCATACGCCTGAACACCTGGCTACCTAGTGTGGTTTTGTTCTGAGACAAACGGCTGAGAACTTGGAGGGGTAGGCCATAGTGTAAGATGCCTTCGTTCATACCCTCTAATATGGTCCCTAGCATCTCAAGACTGTGAGGGAGACTTGACCAGATGATCCTTTCTTGCCAGAACCCTAGAACACAACTGCAGTGGAGTCTCCAAGAGTATGGCTCTATGTCATCCTTGCTATGAGATATGAGGTGACCTATTTTAACCTGATGAACCAATTTCCTTATATCAAATGTTCCACCTAGCTCACAACACCCTTATGGACTCAGATGAGCTCACTTGTATCTTTATTTTTACGTGGTGCTGAGGATTGAACCCAATGCCTCACACATGAGAGGCAAGCACTTTACCATTGAGCTACAGCCTCAGCCCCTCAGATGAGCTCACTTGTGAAAAAAACTTAGGTCAGTCCCTCACCCGTGCCACATTAGCACTTTCTTTTCTTCCTTCCAGGAGATGGTCCTTGTCAGTCTCCTTCAAGCTATTGGAGGCTAACTTCTCTCCAGGGTTCAGGCCATCCTCCCATGATGGTCACAGCAATGTCCCACGAGGTGAAAAATTCTGGAGAGGGGCAGCAAAAACTGTGCGTGCGGTCCTATACGGGTCTTCCAGTAAAGAGTGAGGTAGGTGCCAGGGTAGAGAAAACTTCCCACAATTCTCATGAGGCTGAGGGTCACAGATGAGCCCTTGGCCACCCTTTCTTCCAAAGCCCCTCGTTGGGTTATGAAACACACCCTAAGAAAAGAGAAGGTGCTATTAACAGCCTGAACACGGAAACACAAAAATCTTTTGTTTTATGGACAACGCAGTAATCACCGCCCTCTTAAAGCTGACCCTTCCGATCGGGTGGGAATTAGTGAAGACGGTTCATATTAATGCAGGTAGACGCAACACCCACCACGCGCCAGGCCCACTACTGGGTCAGTGAGGTGGACGGTGCTATAGGTACTTCACAAAGGAAAACCGAATTTCAGATATGCTGAATGGCTTGCTCAAGGCCAGCCGCACACAGCAAGCGGTGGCCCCAGTGCAAACGCATACCTCTTTTCGGGGCACCCTATTCTTTCCCTACCTGACAGGCACCGCCCAGGTAAGGGCTGCAAAATGCTAGAGACGGCTGACGACAAATGAGCGCCGGGACAGGGCGGGGCGGGGCCCTGGGCGCAGCGTTCCCTGCAGCGACGCGCGGTTGGGAGCTGGGTGCTACTCGGCACCTCGTGCTCTGAGGCCGCTCCGCCGCCCCAGAGGACCCGCGTGCCCACATCCAGGCGTAGGCCCGTCCGCAGGAGGGCGCAGCCGCCCAGGGTGCTAGGAAGTCGGTGCCCGACCGCCCAACGATCGCCCTCTGAAGAACCTCGCGCCAGGCCGCTGCGTGCCCGCTTAGTCAGCAGCTCGGCTGGGCGCGCAGGTCCAGGCTGGGCCCCAGGGTGGGTCACGAGGCGGGCGCGGCCGGGTCGGCCCCCGCCAGACCAGCGCGCGCAGCTCGCCCTCCTCCCTCCCGCACCTCCCCCTCTTTCCTTTCCCCTCCCCCTCTTCGCTCTCCACTCCCCTCCCTGAGAGGGCCGCAGCGAGCGCCACGTCCCCAGCCCCGCCCCCGCAAACCACGCGGGGAACCCCGGTGACGTCACCACCTTCCAGCCCTAGCATTCCCGCGCTCTCCAGAAAAGACGCGAAGGTGGTGACGTGTCCAAGGCTCCAATACGGCTGCGCAGGCAGCGTAGGTAACTGAACGTCCTGCGGCGCCGCCTAGTGGAAGAAAGACCCTAAGACTGCCGGAAGCTGCGGCGCGGGCGAGGGGAGAGCGTGACTTACGTCATCGCGCGGAGGCGAGCAGGCGGCTGCCGCGTGACCAGCCCCCACCCGGGGTGTTTTAGTGTCGTCTTTCTCTTATTTTTTTTCTTCTGCTCCCAGGATAGTGTGAAAGTTTAATTGTGCCCCCACTTTTTTTTTAATTTGTCTCTTAGAATTTGTCAAGCTAATATGGTTCATTTTAGAAAATTTAGATGTTAAGAAAATTACATTGTTATAAGCATTCCCAGTCATTTTTAACTATCTGCCTTCTCTTGCATTGAACACAGTTGTGATCTTACTGTATAACAGTGGTATTAATTACAATAATTCCCTAGAAGTGACCAAAAACATCACTTGAGCTTCAAGACTTCTTAAGAAGAGTTAAAAAAAAAATAGGTGAGATGAGTGATTCACAGCTGATGTGCTGTAACTCACATCATCCAGATGAGGAATGGGTGCAGTGTTAAGTAACTTGCCCAAAGTCGTACTTTAATAAGGGTGGCAGAGCTGGGTTTTCAAATTCAGGGCCTAAGATCTGAACCTTAAAATGAAGACTGGGAAAGACTGTGAAAAATGAAGCTAGGGAGAAAAACCCACAGGAAATTCACAGAGCTGTGGAATCGGAATGTTTTCTACTTTTGGAACCGATCAATTGGAAATATTCACAAGGAATGAGGCTAGTGCCCTCATCTGTTAGAACAACTTTATGGTAGTGTTAGAAAACCCCTCACAAGTGCATCTCAAGTGCACCAACCTCTAGCGCTGCTCTTATTAGTGGCAATGAAAGGTGGAAGGAAAGTTATGGATCAGGTCACAGTCCTGCAGTTGGGCACTTTGTGTCACTTGGAAACTTGATAGAAATGCAGAATCTTGAAGACTTAGAATTTATGAATCAGAATATACCTTTTAATCAGATCCCTTTGGTGATTCCTATGCATGTTAAAAGTTTAAATGGGCCATTATAAAACAAATTCTGTGGAATCCATACTTTCAGGTTTCAGGAGCCATAGTTCCTGCCAGGAGCTGCTCTGTTCTGAGCATGAATAAGCCTCAGTAGGAAGTGGATCAGATGAACTCTTGCCCTGGACAGTGGCCCACCTCTACTCCCATGTGGTTGTCCAGCCCTATTTTAGTGTCCATGAACAGTTGTTCATTCTAAGCTGGTTAGAACTGAGTTTCTATCATCTGTAATTGAAAGACGACCAAGAGCCTACTTCATATGGATTTTTTTAGCTTACTGTCCTTGCTTTCCAAGGACAATGAATTTAAGAAAGATATTGAAGCAACATATCATAATTAGAATACTGGAGTAAAACTAAACATTTAAAAAATATATATATATATTTTTAGTTGTTGATGGGCCTTTATTCATTCATTTATGCTGAGAATCGAACCCAGTGCCTCACACATGCTAGGCAAACGCTCTACCACTGAGCCTAAACTCCAGGCCCCCTAAACATTCCTTTTAATGTGTTTCCAACAAGATATATAACCTCAAAGAGGCTGCTTACTTAAAAAAAAAAAAAAAAAAAGGATTCAATGAGAAAAATGATATGAGAATGTAAAACAAAGTGCCTGGTATACGGTAAGCACATAGAAAATATTTGTTCCCTTCTTTCCCCCTTGAAGACACCTTTCCATTTCTTTTTTAGTATCTCCATTCTGTGATCAGTGAATCCATAAACAGAATTTTACCAACTTAAAACTTTTTGAAGAATAAAAAAGGAAATAAATGTCAAGTGACTAAGCAATTATAAGCATTAGTTAGAAATATCAATAATCTCTTGCTGCCCAGACCTTTTTTCCCTATATTTCACTATCAGGTAAATCTCTCCTAAAGTTTACAGTGGAAATAATTAGGCCAGCATGAGGTATAATTTGGAAAAACTAGTGACACTTTGCTTTATTTGGGAACAGAATAAAAAGCACGGCTGGAACTCTGCCAAGATGGTCCTTTACCTTCTGCCCTAACTGGGGTATTAATTTTCTAATACTGTTGGCATAAGGCTGAGTGCTGCTAACTTCTTAGAGAACTAGAAAAAGGTTGAAATAAAGTCTAAGGGTGAATCTATAAGAAGGAAAGTGAGTTGGTTTTCTTTTTGTTCCTTTTAAAACTGTAGCCAGTTTTAAACTGCCCAACTTATAATGAAGATAGTACAAAGCAGCACCCAAAAGGCTATTTATGAGTTTTTCTTCAGCAGAACCTGCTTAGCTAAGAGCAGTTTCACTAAAGAATGGGGCCATCTAAGTGCCAAACTAGTATTTAAAGTGGTCAAGGTGAGGATGTGCAAATTTAGCAGCAAAAAAACTCTTGTTTTGCCTCAAGGGAAAGTGATAGTGGTCAAAGGGGCCAGTTCCAAGGGCTGGTCCAGAGGGGCCCGTTGGTCTTGGTAGTCTGCTACATGCCCGTTCCGGTGGTGACCATACTCAAACTTGATCCGCAGCTCGCCAATCTTGGATTGGGGAAGGATGTCTGGGATCCACTCGATGATGAAAGGTGTGGGCTCTTTTTGATCTGGGGAAGTGTTTCCTAAAAGCGGGAGGGAGAAGGACCACTAATTAGTACAATTCCACCTGACTCTCATGGGCATTCCTTATAGCAAGAAGTGTCTTGGGATGGAACAGTCTCCTCAGCTTTGATAATCAGAAAGTTGAGAAGGGCCTACATAGTTAATGGTGAATAGAGTATCAGGTTTTCTGATCATTATAAAATTAAAACACATATTTGTAATTTAGGTCTTTCTTAACTGATGTTGCAGGCTAGAGTGTCAGCTGAATGGCAGATATGAAACAAAAAATTCAGATTCAATTTCTGTCAGTTAAAATAAGGATGGTTTTCAGGAGAAAAAGTAAAAAACAAAAATTTTTAAATATATAACAAAAAAATGATAGAGGAGAAAGACCCTAACTAATTATATGTACAGTATACCTTTTTTTTTCTCTCAGTATTACTTATTTCTGACTTCATAAACTTTTTTTTTTTGGTACTGGGGATTGAACCCAGGGCCTCATGCATGTGAAGCAAGTACTCTACCAACTGAGCTATATCCCCAGCCCCACATAAACTAATATTCTATTTTTAAAAAATATTTAGTTTTAGTTGTAGTTGGACACAGTACCTTTATTTTATTTTTTTATTTTTATGTGGTGCTGAGGATCGAACCCAGGGCCTTGCATGTGCTAGGCGAGCGCTCTACCACTGAGCCACAACTCCAGACCCCTAATATTCTATTTTTCACTTCACTATCTTATTCCCCCTCCATTTTATCCCCAATAACTTTTCATCCTTTCTTCTTCTTCTTCTTTTTTTTTTTCTTCCAGTGCTGGAATCCAGGGCCTAAAGCATGCTAGGCAATAAATAAATTATATTCTAAGACACTTCTCCTTACTACCCCTTCTATCAAATTGTAACATAGTTTCTGAGATCTCTTTGTATCATCTTAAAACCACAACAGTTTTCACATGGCAAAGTTTCTTTTCCCATCAGAAAAGTAGCTAGTACACCTACATCTACTAAGCATTTTGTAATCAAGGACCTTAGAATCACAAAGATATAATATGTAACATCTGCCAAACTTATTTATTTAAAAAAAAAAGTAATGCCCTTCCCCCCCCCCCCCACCAAATACTTATTACTATCTCTTCTTAAAGACAGAGCTGAAAAATACTACACTGGAAAGATTTTATTATGCAGGGGAAAAAATAGGCATGACTCCTATTTTTTTTTTCCATCATTGCTCTTGAAATCCTCACTATCTGAACAAGAAAAAAAAGATAAAAATGTTTGATAGGAAATAAAATGATCATGATTTTTGTAGGTGATGTCCCCAATTTTACAGAAATGGGAGGAAAGCAACTACTATTATCATTACTAAGACTTTATTAAGGTTAAGAAGCTTGGTTAAGAATCTGACAAATTTGGGGCTGGAGATGTGGCTCAAGTGGTAGCACGCTTGCCTGGCATGCGTGCGGCCCAGGTTCGATCCTCAGCACCACATACAAAAAATAAAGATGTTGTGTTCGCCAATAAATAAATAAAAATATTAAAAAAAAAAGAATCTGACAAATAATTATAAATTATAATTTTCTCCTGGAATAATACACAGTTAAGAGAAAAGAAGGGGCCTCTCATCTTCAGGGGATACATTCTAAGACCTTCAATGGATGGTTTCCCAAACACACACACACACACACAGACTCTCTCTCTCTGTTAATATACACACATATATACACATTTGTTGTGAGTCAGCCCACGTGCTATGTGAGTGAGCTATGCGCATGTGAGCTTATGAAGGAACTGAACTGACATTGCTGCCTGATTGGGCTGTGCAATGTATGTGTGCCTTTTCGGTTGCTCTGCCTTTGATCCCACAGGCACCTGAGATGGGTGTGGCTTTCTAAGATGTCAGTCAGACTGCTGATCACAAGACATCATCAAGCAAGATTCTACCCTCCAAAATCCAATTGCCTTATTTGGGTGGAATATTCTATGAATGGCTTCTCCTCAATAAATAGGGGGGTTTCAAGTGTGCTTGCTCTCTTGTCTGCCTCTTGTCTCCCTTGCTCTCCTTGCCCTTCAGCATAGGAGCTTGATTCTTGAGGCTGCAGAGCTGTCCTGAATCCCGAAAAAGGTATTTTCTGTGTTTGTGTGTTTTTTTTTTTTATTACCAGCCCAATCCACCAGGAATGACTCTGATTCTGTTGCATATTATGACACACATATAAACTTCAATTTATATATTAGACACACTAAGAAATTAATAATAATAATAAAGTATAAAACAGTTATAACAATATACCATAATAAAATTACCAGCATCACTACTCTTGTGCTTTGGGGTCATTATTAAGTAAAATAAGGGTCATCTGTCTACAAATACTGAACTGATAGTTAAGATTTAGTCTCTGAGGAGTGGGGATATAGCTCACTGGTGAAGCACTTGTGCCTAGCATGTGTGAGGCCCTAGGTCCAACTCTTGGCACTGCAAAAATAAATAAATAAATAATTTTGGCTCCTGAGATAGCTGTTAAGTGTCCAATGGGCAGGTTATATATATAGTATGGATTCACTGGACAAAGGGATGATTTACATCCCAGGTGGTAGGGAGAAAGATTAACACCTAATTTCATCATGCTACTCAGAATGATGTGCAATTTCAAACTTATAAATTGTTGTGTCGGGAGCAGTGTTGCATGCCTGAAGTCATAGCAGCTGAAGAGGCTGAGGCAGGAGGATCACAAGTTCAAAGCCAGCCTTAGCAACTTGGTGAGACCCTTTTTCAAAATAAAATATAAAAAAGAACTGGGAATCTAGCTCAGTGGCTAAGCAACCCTGGGTTTAATCCCCCATACAGAAAAACAAACAACAACAACAAAAGCGACTTATGAATTATGTATTTCTGTAATTTTCCATTTAACATTCTATCAGATAGAAGTTGACTGAGGGTAACTAAAACTACAGAAAACAGAATTGCAGATAAGGGTATTACTGTATACCAAAACCAAGAGCTTTCCATACAGTGGCAATAACAAGTTAGAAACAAGAGCAACAAAAAAATGTAATATACCTAAGAATATGTTCATAAGAATCTGTCAAAATAATTATAAATTATAATTTTCCCCTGGAATAATACACAGTTAAAAGAAAAGAAGGGGCCTGCTAGATAGATCACAAAGCTAGAAAAATAATTAAAACTATGACTGATGTAAGGGAAAAAAAAAAAAAAAAAGGAAAATGCCCCAATATGCCTAGCATTCATTCAGACATTTAACAAGTCTTTAATGAGTACCTATTATGACCAGGCATTTAGCCATCATTAGACCATGTGGTACAGTGATTAACAGGAGTGTCACAGTTCACTGCCTTGGAAGGGCTTATAGTATAGTCAGTGGAAAGAAAGTTGAATACTAGATGGTTGGTGCAGGCTCTGGAGTCCAAAATGGTGTGAGGTTGAAGCAGCACTACCACTTACTAGGTAGGTAACCCTGGGGCCGGGGGGGCTGCACTGACCTTCTCCTCTGTTTCTTCCTCTGTAAATGGAGATCATGAAATCTACCTCTCAGTGGACTGATGAGCATTAAATGAGGTAATATAAGGCACATATAAAGCCTTTAATTTTTTTTTTTTTTGGTACTGGGGATTGAACCCAGGGGTGCTTTACTGAGCCACATCCCTAGCCCTTTTTATTTTTTATTTTGAGACAGAGTCTTGCTAAGTTTCTGAAGGTCTCACTAGATTGCTGAGGCTGGTCTCAAATGTTATGATCCTCCTGCCTCAGCCTCCTGATTACAGGTGTGTGTCACTATGCCAGGCTATATAAACCATTTAAAATAACACCTGGCACAAAGCAATTGCTAATTAAATGCTTTTTATAGACATTATTGCATAAATACCCTAATTAAAAACAAACAAACAAAAAAACCAATTCATCAAACAGAAATGACTTTTTTTTTTTTTTAAATATTTATTTATTTATTTTTAGTTTTCGGCAGGCACAACATCTTTGTTTGTATGTGGTGCTGAGGATCGAACCCGGGCCGCACGCATGCCAGGCGAGCGCGCTACCGCTTGAGCCACATCCCCAGCCCCAGAAATGACTTTTGATAGGATTCTCCCAGTGAAACATCTAGGCCTAAAGATTTCTTTTTGTGTATGTGTGTTCATTCTGAATTTAATTTCCTTAATAATAAAAAAATCCATGGCTCAGTGGCAGAGTGCTTGCCTCACACATGTGAGGGACTGGGTTCAAACCTCAGCACCACATATAAATGAATAAAAAAATGAAATTAAAAAAAAGGTCCATGGACAACTTAAAAAATATTTTAAAAATAAAAAACACCACAAATGATAAATATGCAAAGTTAACCCTCTTTAATATTTGAGGAAAATGCAAATTAAAAGAGAAAAAATTTTTTTAATCTATCAAATCAACAAAAATTAAAAAAGAGTTTCTCCTTTTTTTTTTTCCTTTTCCTTTCTACAGTACTGGGGATTGAACCCAGGGCCCTGTGCATGCTAGACAAGCACCCTACCAATGAATTATAGCCCTAGTCCAAGAAACGCTTAAACATGGCTAGCAGGAATACATTCTAAAAATATTACAATCTTTCTAGAGAGCTGATGGATAAAAGCCTTAATATATACATAACCTTTGACCCTCCAATTTCTTTTTTAGGACTTTATCCCAGGGAATATCCTACATAAGTTAGAAAATAAGAAAAGTTTATTTATGAGGAAGCTAATTTCAGTACTGTTTTAGTTAATAGAAAAAAGTTTGAAACAACATAAGTAGGGGATTGATTAGGTGACATTCCAATGAATGAATTTTATATACATGTGTGTATATATATATATATATATGCATATACACACATATATTTATATGTCTTAATGTATTTTTTTCTTTGCCTATAATCCCAGCAATTCAGGAGACAGAGGCAGGAGGATCACAAGTTCAAAGTCAGTCTCTACAACTTAGTGAGGCCCTAAGCAACTTCATGAGACCCTGTCTCAAAACAAAATAAAAAGTAAAATGGGCTAAGAATGTAGATCAATGATAAAGCACCTCTGGGTTCAATCCCCAGTACCAAAATACAGACATACATACATAAATAACACTGTAAGTTGGGGGCGTATTCAGTATAAAACATGTGCTTAGCATGCCCAAGGCCCTGAGTTCAATCTCCAGCACCACATAACCCACAAAAAATGAAACAAACAAACAAACAAACAAAACCCTGTGTATTCACAATAGCTAAAATGTAGAAGCAATCCAAGTGTACATCTACAGATGAATAAATAAACAAAAAGGTATATATACATACAATGGAATGTTATTCACCTTATGAAAGAAGGAGATTTGACTTAAGCTACGAACCTTAGAGAGAACTTATGCTAAGTAACATAAACAGGTGCAAAAGAACAGATATTGTATGATTCCACTTATGTAGGTACTAAGAGTAGTTAAACTCAGAGACAGAAGTAGAAGGTGGGTGGCTAGGGATTTGGAGGAGGCAGGTATGGAGAGCAGAAAATGAGTTCAATTTTTTTTTTGGTGTGTGTGTGTGTGTGTGTGTGTGTGTGTGGTGTTGGGGATTGAACCCAGAGCCTTATACATGCAAGGCAAGCACTTTACCAACTGAGCTATATTCCCAGCCCAGAATATGAGTTCAGTTAAAGAAAATAAAAAGTTCTGAAGATTAAGTGATGGTTACTCAGCAATGTGAATGTACTTAATGCAAAATAATTGTACACTAAAAAATAGTTTTAAGCTGGGTGCAGTGGCGCACATCTGTAATCCCAGTGACTTGGGAGTCTGAGGCAGGAGGATCATGAGTTCAAAGCCAGCCTCAACAAAAAAGTGAGGCACTAAGCAACTCATGAAACCCTATCTCTAAATAAAATACAAATAGGGCCAGGGATGTGGCTCAGTGGTTGAGTGTCCCTGAGTTCAATCCCTGGTACTCTTTAAAAAAAAAAAAAGTAGTTTTAAACTGGTGTGGTGGTGCATACCTGTAATCCCAGTGACTCAGGAGGCTGAGGCCAGCTCAAACAACTTAGGAAGACCCTGTCTCAAGATGAAAAATAAAAAGGGCTGCTGAGGATGTAGCTCAATGGTAAAGTGCCCCTCAGTTCAACTCTCAGTAAAAAAATTAAAAAATAAATAAAAATGGTAAATTTTCTACTATGTATATTTTAAAATAATGATAAAAAAGTTTAAAAAAATAACATTAAAGACAGACATGGAGGGCTGGGGTTGTGGCTCAGTGGTAGAGCGCTTGCCTAGCATGTGTGAGGCATTGGGTTCGATCCTCAGCACCACATAGAAAACTAAATAAATAAAATAAAGATGTTGTGTCTATCTACAACTAAAAAAAAAGATAAGACATGGAAAGCAGTTCATCATGTAGTAATAAGTAAAAAAAAAAAAAAGCAGCAGAAGTACATCCCATGTTTTGGAAACTCTTAATGTACAGAAGAGTCTGAATATGCACCAAGAACTTAACAGTGATGCTCCCTACTGCATGGAGGGGTGGGGATTAAATGTGGTTTTAAATTTAGTCCTTTATGTTCTATAATGAAATCTATAATTTTTCTCCAGAGAGACTCTATTTCTCTAACATGTATGACTTCTGTAATTTTATTTTGAAGCAGTGGCTCAAATGAGACCAAATACTTAACCCATCACTGCCTTTATGAAATGAATATATGTGTCTTTTTTTGATTAAAGTCAAGATTCAAAGCCTCAGAGCGCCAGATGTGGTGGTGCATGCCTGTAATCCCAACGACTTGGGAGGCTAAGGCAGGAGGATTGTGAGTTCAAAGCCAGCCTCAGCAATTCAGTGAGGCTCTGAGCAACTTAGCGAGACCCTGTCTCAAAATAAAACATAAAAAGGGTTGGGTTGTGGCTCAGTGGTTAAGTGCCCCAGGTTCAATCCCTGGTACCAAAATAATTAACTAACTAACTAACTAAATAAATAAATAATTTAAAGCCTCAGAGAGTGTAATGTACAGAGATGACCCCTGAAGGAAGAAACTCACCAACTTTGAGGAAAGTTTTTAGTTCCAAGGGTCGCAGCACTGGTTGCTTTTCTATGCGACCGTAAGTTTCTGCTATGCACTCCACTTCCACTTTGGGGCATTTAAACAGCTCATAAGTCCCATCTCGGTTCTGGATAAAGCTACGGGTGATTTCCAAGGGCATCTGGATACCAGGACAAAAGAAGAAAGGTGAGACATGGAAAACTTTCAAAGTAGACACATACCTGGATGGCAATAAATCTTTTACGATTCCTTCTTTCTTGTTAAGTGCCAATGAATTACAACTTTCCTTTGTATTTCTGAGTAAATCCTGTTCACAAATCTGCCTTTTCTCCTTTACATCATTTCTGGCTTTCCTTAATTCGAACTCCAGCAAAATCATATACCAATTGAACCTGTAAGATCTTCACAACTACAGGACTGCTACTGACACAGACATGCTCTAAAATCAGTTTCATTACTTCCCCTCCTGGCAGCTTTCTTCTGAACAGTGTTTTGATAGCACTTATGGCTCACCTCACATCCTGTGTGCTTCACACTGTCCTAGGACTGAGCCAGATAGAGTCTGAACCAAAAAGCAGGGTGGCCCTGAGCAAGCTAACTTCTCAGGGCCTGTTTTCTCATCTGCAAAACTCAGTGCCTACCCATGCATGGCTGGGAGGGTAAAAGAGACAATGTAGGTAAATAATGACCAGGAGAAGCTGGTCAATGATCACTGGCTCTTTCTCCTAACCTGCCTTTGCCTTGGGTTGCTTTGATGCTTTCCTGAATGCCACCTATTCTAGGCTAGGAGCTGCCTCTGGACACCCTGCATTTAAAGTTCCCAAGTCTTTAGTGCTAATACAGGCCTTTTCCTGGGTTCATAGGAAAGTTCCATAGCTACCAAACAACTTATTCTTTTTCTGAACATAAAAATGCTTTGCCACTGAGGTAGTCTTAATGTATCAAATCACACTATGCTGAATTTTCTACAATATTTCTTCTCAAATTTTCGAGATCTGTTTGAAAATTTTTAAAATGTCTATTGTGTCCCTGGTGAAAGACAATGATAATTAAGGGCCATTTCTCTTGCAAGAACCAAATTACACTTTGGGAAGGAGGGTTTAATTGTACCCACTTGACTTTACAAAGAGTACATCATCTAAAGTAACTCATATCCTTTCTAGCTGCCTGCTAATCAAATCTAGGGGTCATCATAGCTACTATGGGATCATTACTGAATTTATAAGACCCTGCTTTCTGAATCTGAAGGCAGAGAAAAATTATACTTTAAGACATCTTTTTATTGTTGGTGGGATTGAAACCATGGCTTTGTGCATGCAAGGCAAGCACTTCATCATCGGCTACATCTCTAGCCCTTAGAATTTTTTTTTTTTTTTTTTTAATTTTGAGACAGGGTTTCAGGAAGTTGTCTAGGCTGGCTTTGAACTTGTGATCCTCCTGCCACAGCCTCCCAAGTAGCTGGGATTACAGGCATGTGCCACCATATCTGTTTATGACAATTTTTTAAAATGGGAATACCCAGTAAAATCAGAGTCAGAACTGTAACAACTACTTCTGAATAACCTCTGGCATGAAAAAAAGGAACTCAGAACTGGCAAAGATCTCAGGGAACTGCTGCAAACTTACTCCCTACACTAGCTTCCCTCCCTGCCCTCCCACTACTGTAGAAATAAACTCTTACCTCTGGGGTATCTAAGATTTGCTTAACTTGTAGAATATTAGTGATATGCCAGGTGTACTTGGAAAAGGTTCCCAGTGGCAAGGCATCTTTTCGAACAAAAGCTTCAATGTAAAAAAGGGACAAAATTAGACTACCAGACAATACCATTCCCTTTCACTGTATTTGTTACTCAATTTCTAGAGTTCAATGCAATGCTACTTTTTCCTTATATAATCTCAACACTTTTTTTTTAATCTTGAACATATTTTTATTGTTGCATGAATCATACTGTATGGCAATGACTTCCTTACATGGTTTTTGTCCACTGCTATTAAAAAAAAAAAGTGAGATAATCACATCTCACAGAATATTTTCTTGCCTGTTCTTCTTTCTATTATCTATTATAGAGGGGGAAAAAGCTTACCACAATCCTCAAAGGCTAACTACAATCATGCATCATAATAATAGCAACTGTATGCCAAATGCTTACAAGTGCCAAATTTAATCTTCAAAATAAAACTATGAAGTAAGTACTAGTATTATCTCTATTTTATAGGTGAAGAAACTAAGGCATAGAGAGCCTAACAATTTCATCCAGGGGCACACAGTACTAACTCTTACATTTAACTGAAGCATGTCTCAATCTAAGTTCTGTCCTGGTAAACCTCTGCCACTTTAGGCACATACTGCAGGGAGCCCCAACTCCCAGGGTGTCCACCAAAAGATTAGGAAGTTCATGGGAGGATTAAGCAGATAGCTTTGTGGAATATTACAGAAAGAACTTTCCTATAAGACTGTTAGACCCTATGTTTTAGTCAGCTTTTTCACTGCTGTGACCTAGAATCTCAACACTTTAGTTTTTCTTTGGGTATCAGAAATTGTACCAGCCCAGCTGCTTAGAGGCTCACCAAGTTGCTGAGGCTGCCTTTAAACCTGTGATTCTCCTGTGCCAGCCTCTCAAGCTACTGCATTTATAGATGTGCACCACTGCACTCATCGAATCTCAACACTTTTAAAAAAATTTATTTTTCATTGTAGATGGACACAATACCTTTATTTTATTTATTTATTGTTTTATGTGGTGCTGAGGATCAAACCCTGTACTTCACACATGCTAGGCAAGCATTCTACCACTGAGCCACAATCCCAGCCCAAATCTCAACACTTTAAAATATATAGCAGGGTTTGGCAGATATGTGACAAATCCAGTGATAAAGATTTCTGCTATGTGAAGTCTCTAGTGCTCCTTTTGAGATCCTACTTATTTTTGATACCTTAGAAACTTGTAAAGGTATGTGCACAGGACTCCACTTTAAAATAGACTCTTACTACTTCAGATGTTACAGCTTAAATTAAATTATAGTCTTTAAAATAATTACGTAAACACTTGTCTTACATGCATGAAGCCCTGGGTTTAATCCCCAGCACCTCAAAAAACAAACAAACAAACAATTACATGGAGTTTAAGATTTCTAACATGACTGCCAATCCTGCCAATCCACTGCCTACATGCCAGATTATATGTAGTTCCACCAAAGAGCCTAGAAAAATAGCCAATGGATGGGTTGAAATTACTGTATTAGGTCTCAAGTTTAAACTGGAAGAAAGACTCTACACTGCTTCAAAAGTCAGATTGTTAAGCTATGAACACAAAGATTTATATGTCCCCAAACATAGTGACTCACAGCTTGCAATGTTCAAAAAATGAGTTAAAACTCAAAGAATAATTTACTGAATAACACTGGTTTCTTCGTGTAGTTACTCTTGGCCATTTGCCACTAAATAATATATTTTTTCTTTTTTTAAAGAGACAGAGAGAGAGAGAGAATTTTTTTAATATTTATTTTTTAGTTATTGGCAGACACAACATCTTTGTTTGTATGTGGTGCTGAGGATCGAACCCGGGCCACACGCATGCCAGCGAGCGCGCTACTGCTTGAGCCACATCCCCAGCCCAATAATATTTTTTTTCATCCATTTCCTTTCCTTATTTCCTGTACTATTTAATAAGTGTCTTGAGATCCCTAGAAGAGAGATGTTAATAAGCACTGGAACAATATAATAAAGTGTTAGAGTTAGGTATGTATCTCAGTGGTAGAGTCCATTCTTAGCATGTGTAAGGTCTTGGATTTAGTTCCCAGCACCAAATATATAAAGTTCAAAGCCTATAAATTACTCCCCTTTATCAAATGTTGAAAAAAAAAAGATTTTAAAAACCAAAAGGTTTTAATTTATATATAATCTACTTCCAAGAAGCTGGTCCAAATAACTACTAGGGCCTGCAATGCTTTTGCAGAAATTAGTTCCTACTTAGAAATTTCAAACTTACCTACTTACCTATCTATCATCATTCAATCGTTTATCTATCTTACAGTACAGGGAATTGAACTCAGGGGAGCTCTATAGCTAAAATACAACTCCAGCCCTTTTTATTTTTTAGACAAGGTTTGCTAAATTGCAGAGACTGGCCTCAAACTTACAACCCTCCTGCCTCGGCCTCTGGAGTATCTGGGATTATAGGTGTGGCCACCACACCTGGTCCTGCTGTGCTCTTTTTTTTTTTTTTTTTTTTTAGAGAGAGAGAATTTTTTTTTTTAATATTTATTTTTTAGTTCTCGGCGGACACAACATCTTTGTTTGTATGTGGTGCTGAGGATCGAACCCGGGCCGCACGCATGCCAGGCGAGCGCGCTACCGCTTGAGCCACATCCCCAGCCCCCTGCTGTGCTCTTAATTGTTCTTTTACCAAGCTTATGTTTTCTTAATTTTTCTTCTAACCTCTTACTGGAATAAGTAAGAAAAGGGCCTTTGAAGAGTGTGGTCACTATTCCAAGAGCAAATTATTGAAGGCTTCATGCTCCAAGCATGTCTAGAAAGTTCTACACAAATTTTTTCTCAATAATTCTCTAAGGTCAAATATCCATTGCTATTCCTAAAGGAGAATTCTGTACCTGTGGTAGAGTTGGGGAGACGTTTTTTTGCACTTCCTATTGATATTCTCTGTTGCAGCGCATCAAAAAAGGACTGAGGAATGTGGAACACCAGTGGCTCTGGTTTGCCTACAGAAATAAGAAGGAAGTCATTTAAAAAACTCAGTGGGCTTTCTGATGTGCAGAGAGAGGTAAAGGAAGAGAAATGAAGGAGCAGTAACAACCACACTCCTGGAGTTTCTTTACACAGAAGCAAAAATAAGGCTCAGATGGACCTTTATGAGTCAAGAAGTCATCATCCCTATTCTTGTGCCCTTCAATCATAAAACACATGGCAGACCCTTGTTTTCCATTAAGGATAACTTTTGAATCCCCAATTTTGTAAATATCACCATGCTCATTTTTTTCCCTTAAAGGATATGTGAAATGAGCTGAGAACATTGAGGCCAAGCTGAGGAAAACCTAATCATCTGCATCTACTTGATTCATTCCTGCTCACTATCCCTGGTCACTTTGCTATTTGCATTCATATCTAAGCAAAGTATGCTCTTACCTGGATGGTCAGGAAAATGATTGCTGAGAGACTGCAAAACTAGGACACTGCTTATCCAGTAAGCATCAGTTGTTCTAAGAATGCTCTGAAGACAGGTAAAATATTTGAAAAGTACTGAGATCTCTCAAAGAAACCTGGGCCAACAAAAAGTCAAGAGGTACATCCAGGAAGGTCAAATTTCTTTTTATTTAAAAAAAAAATTTATGAAGGTCAAATTTCTGTGTTTATCCACATGGTTTTGGATGTTTTCTCTCTGCTTGCACTAGCCCTTGGGAGAAATGTTTAAGGAAAACTTGGAATTTATTTTTCTTGCTCCCCAGAATTCTCATTTTGTTCATTTATTGGTACTGGGGTTGGAACCTGTGGTGTGCTACCACTGAGTTACATCCCCAGCTCCTTTTCTTTTTGAGACATGGCCTCAAATGTGTGATCCTCTTGACTTAGTCTCTGAAGTTGCTGGGATTACATATATGTACCATCTTGCTCTGTTTCAAGGAACTTTATTTATTTATAAATATTTTTTTTTAGTTATAGATGGACACAATATTTTTTTTTTAAAGTTTTTCAGTGGACACAACATCTTTATTTTTATTTGTATGTGGTGCTGAGGATCAAACCCAGCGCCGCGCACATGCCAGGCAAGCACACTACCACTTGAGCCACATCCCCAGCCCGGACACAATATTTTTTATTTATTTATTTTTATGTGGTGCTGAGATTTGAACCCAGTGTCTCATGCATGCAAGGCAAGTGATCTACCACTGAGCTACAACTCCAGTCCCGAGGATCTTTATTTTTTAAAATGCTGTTCATTAGCTAGAATATATTCAACAAATAACATCAAGATGATATGAGGTCTGTGAAGATGTTATGAGGAGTGTTTGATGAATTGAGATGTATTGCTTGGAAAAAAGAAGACTTGTTAAGCAAGTCAAGGGGTCTATGTGTATGCAGTGGCAGGGACTGGTTTTTGGAAATGAAACCACACCTACCATGTAGCTAGAACACAGAACTAAAAGCAATAAAAAGTATTATGTTATGAGCTCAAAAAGCACTGAACAAAGCCTGGAAACCATCCACTGAGGATGTGTTCAAGGTGATGGGCAAGGACAGCTGAGTACCTGCCTCTGACATCAATGAGTTCCATTAGGCTACAACAAATCACACCCAAATCCAGCCTGCACTCTCCAATATTCGTTAGCATGTCTATATAATCCACCCCCGCACCAGTACTGGAGTTTGAACTACTGATCTATATCTCCCGACCTTTTTATTTTCTAAACTGAGACGGGGGTCTCACTAAATTACCTAGGTTGGCCTCAAACTTGTAATTCTCCTGCCTCATCCTCCCAAGTAGCTGGGGATTACATGTGTGCACCACCACTTCTGGTACCATGTTTATGTAATTTGATATAACTATTTCAGTCTCACATGTTTAGGTTTTCTCTAAGCCCCCCTTCCCCACACTTTGATTTTAAGTTTGAGGGTTAGAATAATCTATTTTAAAGCTTTGCTATTTCTTTTACCAAACACATAAAACACATAGACAAGAGCAAGGGAATCTACCTTTACTTGTTATTTGCTGTGTTTTCTCTTCTATGTCTAAACTCATTTTGTAGGTGCTAAACTTTAATTAGGATTAAATAAATGATTTAGTTATGATTATTCCTTTCTATCAACTTTCTACTTTCATGTGGCCCAACGCTCTCTGGATTAAAGTGCACTTATTTTTCTTATCAAAACAGAGTAGAACTATAGCAAAATTACATTAATTTCTTCTACTTAATGCAACAGCCCAATTGGATGACCAATACTTACCATCAAACTGATAGTGCATGGTTTGATGAATACGTTCTGTCACACTGGCCAGCCAGTCTTGGAAGGATAGGGTCACTTGTGCCTCATCTAACAGCTGGCCACATGCTAGAAAAAGAAGAAGAAGAAGAAGAAAAAAAAACCTTCTTCTCAATGTTATTTCTTTCAGAATAAATAACTAAAGTTTGAAAAAGTTATATCGAGTTTGTACAGAAAAAAGTACATGAAGCTGAAATTCAAAGAAAGTAGTTGGGAGTAAGTGAAACAGATTCTGGGACATTGTTTTTTCTTTTGTTTAAAAAAATTTTTCTGGTAGTTGTAAATGAACAGCATGCCTTTATTTTATTTGTTTATTTTTATGTGGTACTAAGGATCGAACCCAGTGCCTCACATGTGCTAGATGGGAGCTCTGTCACTGAGCTATAGCCCCAGCCCTAGGTTTTGCTTCTTAATTAACATAATAACTATACATATGTATGGGGGACAGTGTGATAATTCAATAGACCTATTGTTTTTAAAGAAATCATTGAGAAAAATAAATGAAAGTTCTTAAAGACTAGTAGGTTTAAGGTTATTAACCATAGAAAGTAGGTTTTTTTTGGTGGGGTACCAGGGATTGAACTCAGGGGCACTCAACCACTGAGCCACATCCCCAGCCCTATTTCGTTTAGAGAAAGGGTCTGAGTTGCTAAGCGTTTTGCTTTTGCTGAGGCTGGCTTTGAACTCAAAATCCTCCAGCCTCAGCATCCTGAGCTGTTGGGATTACAAGCATGTGCCACCATGCACAGCAGTTAGTAGATTTTAATAACATGGTCTCATATAATGGCTGCTTCAGAGATCTATAATCAGTTCTATTCCTGCTGAGTACTAACCTATTTGCTTAAGCCCTCTCAATTATAAAGCTATTTGTTTCCTATCAAGGTTAAGTACAGAATCAACTGAGTGATGCCTTAGTAACTCAACTAGGAGTTGCTATGATACCTTTACACTTAACTCTAAAACTTTGTATTCTAAAATGCAAACGGAATGCTAATTCATTATAAAATGGAAGGGTCAAATCTGTTTTTTTTTTAAGAGAATTTTTTTAATGTTTATTTTTTAGTTATTGGCGGACACAACATCTTTGTTTTTTGTATGTGGTGCTGAGGATTGAACCCGGGACGCATGCATGCCAGATGGGTGAGCTACTGCTTGAGCCACATCCCCAGCCCCTGAAAGGGTCAAATCTTACAGCCCTAGAGTAAACAACTGGGAAGGGGCTGGGGATGTGGCTCAAGCAGTAACGAGCTCGCCTAGCATGCGTGGGGCGCTGGGTTCGATTCTCAGCACCACATATAAATAAAATAAAGATGTTGTGTCCATAGAAAACTAAAAAATAATATTACTGGGAAATAACGTAACAAGTGGTGAGTTTGATGGGTACAGAGTTCAGAGTCTAGAGACTGTGGGACATAGGATCCCCATTCCATCATGTACCCAGGATCCATGTCTCAACTTCCTCTTCTCTAATATGAGGGAATGAATCTGGATGACCTCCAAATTCACAAATCGTTCACAGATCTACCATTCTACTCTATTTCTTCTAAAATATCTTCACATGTGCCAGACATGGTGGTACATGCCTGTAATCCCAGTACTTGGGAAACTGAGGCAGGAGAATTGCAAGTTTGAGGCCAACCTCAGCAATTTAGTAAGACCCTAAGAAACTTAGTAGAGCCTGTCTCAAAAAATAAAAAGAACTGGGGCCAGGCGCAGTGGTGTATGCCGATAATCCCAGAGACTCAGGAGGCTGGGGCAGGAGGATCAAGGTTTCAAAGCCAGCCTCAGCAACAGAAAGGTGCGAAGCAACTCGGTGAGACCCTGTCTCTAAATAAAATACAAAACAGAGGGCTTGGGTTGTGGCTCAGATGTAGATCACTTGCCTAGCATGTGTGAGGCACTGGGTTCGATACTTAGCACCACGTAAAAATAAAATAAAGGTATTATTAGTTGTGGGTAGACACAATACCTTTATTTTATTTAATAAAATAAAGGTATTGTGTCTACCCACAACTAAAAAATAAATGTTAAAAAAGAGAAAAAACTCTCATTTAAAAAAATAAAATAAAATACAAAATAGGGCTGGGGATGTGGCTCCATGGTTGAGTGCCTGAGTTCAATCCCTGGTACCACCCCCCCACACCCCCCCACGCCCCCCACCCCCCGCAAAAAAGAACTGGGGAAGTAGCTCAATGGTAAAGCACCCTGGGTTCAATTTCCAGTACCAAAATAAATAAATAAACAAACATTGCCATAACTACTATTCATTTAAACTAAAATTATATGTAAATACATACAATGATAATTTGAATAGAGGCCATTGTCCTTTTCTTTTTTAGTACAAGGGACTGAATCCTGAGGTACTTAACCACTGAGCCACAACTACAGCCCTTTCTATTTTTTATTAAAGCCTCATTGAGTTCCTGGGGCTGGCCTTGAACTTGTAATCCTTCTGCCTCCCTCCTGAGTTGCTGGGATTATAGGAATGCGCCACAACACTCAACATCTTTTTTCTTTGCACTGAAAGAAGTGATGAAAAATTGTTCAAAATCTTCTATTTGATATTGTCTATGTTTACTTCCTGACTATCCAAAACCATAAATAGAAGGTGCAAGTTCTCAATAAAACAGTTATAGATATTCAATATTATAATACCATATAGCGTGTATTGGTCTTATTTTAAATTCAGGGTATAAGAGTAAGGCTGATGTCCTGATTTTAATCTGTCAGTCATAGTATATGGCCAGCCACATCACAACAAGTATTCAATAAATACTGCCAAAATTGAACCAAATTATTTCTATATAATTTATATGAACAGTTGATTCCAAAATTTTCAAGCTTGCCACATGGATGTTCATAGCAGTACAATTCACAATAGCTAGACTGTGGAACCAACCCAGATGCCCTTCAATAGATGAATGGATAAAAAAAATGTGGATTTATACACCATGGAGTATTACGCAGCACTAAAAAAATGACAAAATCATGGAATTTGCAGGGAAATGGATGGCATTAGAGCAGATTATGCTAAGTGAAGCTAGCCAATCCCTAAAAAACAAATGCCAAATGTCTTCTTTGATATAATGAGAGCAACTAAGAACAGAGCAGGGAGGAAGAGCAGGAGGAAAAGATTAACATTTAACAGAAACATGAGGTGGGAGGGAAAGGGAGAGAAAAGGGAAATTGCATGGAAATGGAAAGAGACCCTCATTGTTATACAAAATTACATATAAGAGGCTGTTAGGGGAATGGGAAAAAAAACAAGGAGAGAAATGAATTACAGTAGATGGGGTAGAGAGAGAAGATGGGAGGGGAGGGGAGGGAGGATAGTAGAGGATAGGAAAGGTAGCAGAATACAACAGTTACTAATATGGCATTATGTAAAAATGTGGATGTGTAACCGATGTGATTCTGCAATCTGTATTTGGGGTAAAAATGGGAGTTCATAACCCACTTGAATCTAATGTATGAAATATGATATGTCAAGAGTTTTGTAATGTTTTGAACAACCAATAAAAAAAAAAAAAGAAAACACAAAATTTTCAAGCTTAGGTAATTCTGAGTAGAGAAGAGATACATTTAAATTCATAAATTATGTTCAAAATTAAGTCATTCTACTGGCTGTGGTGCCACATGCCTGTAATCCCAGCAGCTGAGATCAAAGGATCTCAAGTTTAAAGCCACCCTTAGAAATTTAGTGAGACTCTAAGCAACTTGAGACCCTGTCTCAAAATGAAAAACAATAGGGGGGCTGAGGATGTGGCTCAATGGTTAAACGCCCTGGGTTCAATCTCTGGAAAAAAAAAAAAAATTAAGTCATTCTGTCTCATTAATTCAGAGCAACAGTCATGCCACTGCTCTTAGATATGTTTTCAAGCTTCACTGACTTTGGAAAAAGTCTATATTTTATCTTTCTCAACAAATACTTTTCACTGCATAATTATAAAATATATTATTTTTTCCTTCTACTTTGAATCTCATACCAACTACATTATAGGTAAGAAGCAATAAAAGGAACACATACACATTTTAAAAAATACCTGCTACCAAAACATGTTAGTAATTTTTTTTTATAGTGCTGGCATTTGAACCCAGGGCCTCACAAATGCTAAGTAAGTGTCCTACCACTGAGCTACACCCACAGACCCATGTCAGTAATGTTTAATTTAAAAATATAATTTAGGGACTAGAAGTGTAGTTCAATCGTAGCATGTGTAAAGCCCCAGGTTCATTCCTCAGCACTGTGAAAACAAAAGACATAATTTGGTTTTTTGTTTATTTGTTTTTAGAAATCTCTAAGGCCTTTGTGTGTGTGTATGTGGGGGAGGTAACAGGGAATGAACCCAGTGGCGTTCCACACTGAGTTAGATCCCCAGCCTTTTTCGTTTTTTTTTAATATTTTTTAATTGTCAGTGGATCTTTATTTTATTTATTTTTTTTTAAATACTTTTTTTTTTTAAAGAGAGAGAGAGAATTTTAATATTTATTTTTTAGTTTTCGAGGGACACAACATCTTTGTTTGTATGTGGTGCTGAGGATCGAACCCGGGCTGCACGCATGCCAGGTGAGCGCGCTACCGCTTGAGCCACATCCCCAGCCCCTATTTTATTTATTTGTATGTGGTGCTGAGAATTGAACCCAGGGCTTCAAATATGTTAGGCAAGTGTTCTACACTAAGGACAACCCCAGCCCCCATTTTCATTTTTGAGATAGTATGTTACTAAGTTGCAGAGGCTGGCCTCAAATTTATGACCCTCTTGCCTTAGCTTCCAAAGCAGCTGGCAAGTAACTGGGTGTGTGTGCATAGAGTTCCATGCAATATTTTCATGCACTACCATGCCCACCTTTTTTTTTTTTTTTTTTTGGTACTGGGGATTAAATCCAGGGGCACACTACTACTGAGTTATATCCCCATCCCTTTTTGTTCTTTTATTTTGAAACAGGGTCTCACTTAGTTGCTTAGGGATTTGCTAAAATGCCAAGTCTGGCCTTGAACTTGTGATCCTCCTGTCTTAGCCTGCTGAGAGGCTGAGATTACAGGCGTGCACCACTGTGCCTGGCTCCATGCCCAGCTTTAAGGCTTTTCAAATGTTGTTTAATAACATTTTTGAGTCAGGTGCAGTGGCACACACCTGTAATCCCAGCGGCTCGGAAGGTTGAGACAAGAGGATCGTGAACTCAAAGCCGGACTCAGCAATCTCGAGGCGCTTAGCAACTCACTGAGACCCTGTCTCTAAATAAAATACAAAATAGGGCTGGGGATGTGGCTCAGTGGTTGAGTGCCTCTGTGTGGCTTGGGAGGCTGAGGCAGGAGGATAGCGAGTTCAAAGCCAGCCTCAGCAAAAGCGAGATGCTATACACCTCAGCGAGACCCTGTCTCTTAATAAAATACAAAATAGGGCTGGGGATGTGGTTCAGTGGTTGAGTGCCACTGATTAAATCCCTGGTACCCCCCGAACAAAACAAAACCAAAAACATTTTTGAGATAATTATATATGCAATTATAAGAAACTTAAAGTTTATATACCCTACACCCAGATTTCCCCAATAATATTTCGTAAAATTATAGTACAATATCACAATCAGGACAACAACATGGAGGCAATCCAGTGAGCTTATTCATATTTCACTTGTTTTACATGGACTTGTGTATAGTTCCATGCAATATTATCATGTGTAGATTTGTGTGACTGCCGCTTCAGACAATACATAAAACAATTCTGTCCCAAAATTCCTTTCTATTTACCACACCTGGCAGCATCTATTAATCTATTTTTGGTCTCTATGATTTTAGTTATAATTTATTTTTGAGCATGATTTGAAATTGTTGGAAAAGGAAAGACCCGAGCTCAGATAAATTCATATAAAAGTATTTATAATATCAGCACTTTTTGGAAGAGACAACATGCAGCATGTCTTGATTATACTGCTTCTGACTTTAGGGTGACTTAACACCACTGCAGCCTATTCTAGGGAAGGGAAACTTACCCTGCCTTTTTAATGAAGAAGCAACCACGGGTTTTTTCAGGCCACTCTTCCTTAGATTACTGCTCACTGCATCTGGAGGCATTAGTGAATTGTTCATCTGTGCACCTGAATCACAAATCATTTACAGTATTTAAACGTTTCTGCAGAATATATATTGACTAGATATTAATTTCTAAGGATTCTAAAACATATAATCAATCTGTCTTTGCTAATTTCTAGGCTACCTTCACAGGTTTGTTTGTTTTTTTAATTTATATATGACAGCGGAATGCACTACAATTTATATTACACATATAGAACACAATTTTTCATATCTCTGGTTGTATACAAAGTATATTCACACCAATTCGTGTCTTCATACATGTACTTTGGATAATGATGACCATCATATTCCACCATCATTTTTAACCCCATGCCCTCCCTTCCCTTTCCACCCCTCTGTGCTATCTAGAGTTTGTCTATTCCTTCCATGCTTCCCCTCCCCACCCCACCATGAATCAGCCTCCTTATAACAGAGAAAACATTTGGCATTTGGTTTGTTGGGATTGGCTAACTTCACTTAGCATTATCTCCTCCAACGCCATCCATTTACCTGCAAATGCCATGATTTTATTCTCAATCCTTAGCAGGAAGAGTGAAGCAGGTGACATCACTATACCAGACCTTAAACTATACTACAGAGCAATAGTAACAAAAACAGCATGGTATTGGCACCAAAACAGACTGGTAAACCAATGGTCAGAATAGAGGACACAGAGACTAACCCACAAAATTACAATTATATTATATCAGACAAAGGTGCCAAAAACATGCATTGGAGAAAAGATAGCCTCTTTAACAAATGGTGCTGGGAAAACTGGAAATCCATATGCAACAAAATGAAATTAAACTCCTATCTCTCACCATGCACAAAACTCAACTCAAAATGGATCAAGGACCTAGGAATAAAACCAGAGACCCTGCATCTAATAGAAGAAAAAGTAGGTCCTAATCTCCATATGTGGGATTAGGCCCCAATTTCCTTAATAAGGCTCCTATGGCACAAGAATTAAAATCAAGAATCAAATGAGATGGATTCAAACTAAAAAGCTTTTTCTCAGCAAAAGAAACAATCAATGAGGTGAATAGAGAGCCTACAGAATGGGAGCAAATATTTACCACAAGCCATTAGATACAGCACTAATCTCTAGGATATATAAAGAACTCAAAAATTTAACACCAAAAAAGAAATAACCCAATCAATAAATGGTCCAAGGACCTGAATAGACACTTCTCAGAAGATGATATATAATCAATCAACAAATATATGAAGAAATGTTCATCATCGCTAGCAATTAGAGAAATGCAAGTCAAAACTACTCTAACATTTCACCTCACTTCAGTCAGAATATCAGGTATTATGAATACAAACAACAATAAGTGTTGGTGAGGATGTGGAGAAAAAGGTACATTCACACATTGCTGGTGGGACTGCAAATTGGTGCAGTCATATGGAAAGCAGTATGGAGATTCCTTGGAAAATTGAGAATGAACTACCATTTGACCCAGCTATCCCTCTCCTCAGTCTATACCCAAAGGACTTAAAAACAGCATACATACACAGCCACATCAGTGTTTATAGCAGCACAATTCACAATAGCTAAATTGTGGAACCAACCTAGACGAATGGATTAAAAAAATGTGGCATGACACAGTAGAATATTAGTTAGCTTCACAGTTTTTTTTTTTCTTCTGGTGCTGGGGATCGAACCCAGGGCCTCATGCTAGGTAAGTGCCTTACCACTGGGCTACATCCCCAGCTCCTAGCCTTAACCATTTACACATACAATTTAAACTTTTTATGCTCTTTATAGGAAATTGGAGGGTAGGGGATAGAAGTAAAAGGAAAAAAAAAAAGAAGTCACCCACTGTTTTCACCTCTCAGATAATCATAACTAACTTTCCAGGGACCTATATTCTATTTTCTTCTGTCACTAGTTTGTTTTGCTAGTTTTGTGATTTTTAAGTAACTACAATTGCATCAGGATTGCCAGAATAGCAAAAAATTTTCTTTTGAATATCTGAATACGCAATAAATATTTTTTTAAATATGTTCCAAATGTTACATGGGAGGTATTTATACTAACAATTGTTATTTATCTTAAATTCAAGTTTGAGCACTCTGTACTTTATCTGAGCATATGAATGACCTAAACACTTCCTCAATTCTGGTTTTTGTTTTGTTTTGCAGTATTGAGTATTGAACCCATGTGTTTCTGGTAACCACTGAACTACATCTCTAGCCCTTTTTAATTTTAATTTAATTTTTTTGTGGGGGTGAGCACCAGGGATAGAACTCAGAAGCACTTGACCACTGACTCACATCCCCAGCCCTATTTTGTATTTCATTTAGAGACAGGGTCCTCACTGAGTTGCTTAGCCCCTTGCTTTTGATGAAGTTGGCTTTGAACTCGAGATCCTCCTACCTCAGCCTCCTGATCCTCTGGGATTACAGCCGTGCACACCATGCTCTGCCTTTTTATTTTTCATTTTTAGACAGACTCTCACTAAACTGCTGAGGCTCGCCTTGAATTTAGGATCGTTCTGCCTCAGGCTGCTGAGTTCATTGGGATTACGGGCATGTACCATGACACCTAACCATTTTAAGATTCTTAACAAATACTGCAAGCTATTTTTAAAAATGATTTTATCAACTTATACCACATTAGCCATGCCCAAGACCCCAGAATTTTGTTTTTGGAGGTGAGGGTATTGGGGATTGAACTTCAGGGCATATGACCACTGAGCCCCAGCCCCAGCCCTTTTTTGTATTTTGAAACAAGGTCTCACTGAGTTGCTTAGCACCTTGCTTTTTGCTGAGGCTGGCTTTGAACTCCACTCCTCCTGCCTCAGTCTCCCCAGCTGCTGGGATTACAGGTGTGTGCCACCATGCCCATCTAAGACCCCAGATTTCACCTTTGCCCGCAGTCTCATCATTTTAAAAAATCTTTGCTAATTTGGTTACAAAAGTTATTTAGTTTCACTTTTGAATTTCTAAAAGGCTTGCATGAGTCTATTTACTAGTGAGTTTGCAATTTGTTACACATGCATGCAGTGGATATTTTCTTTCCGTTTAGATTTCTTTTTTTGTGTGTGTGGTGCTGGGGATTGAACCCAGGGCCTTGTGCATGCAAGGCAAGCACTCTACCAACTGAGCTATATCCCAAGCCCTTGTTTAGATTTCTTGAAATTTATTTACTAGGGTATTTCAACATTTTTACAGATTTATATGAGTCCTTAACTGACATTAAATATTTGAATTAATATGTGTATATATGTGCATAGATGGTTCCTGATTTATGATGGTTTCACTTAGGAATTTTTGACTTTACTATGATATGAAAAACATCCATGTTCAGTAAAAACCCTAATTTGAATTTTCATCTTTTCCTGGGTTAGCAATATGTGGTATAATTCTCTGTGAGTGGCAGTAAGGTACAGATCCCAGTTAGTCACAAGATCCCTAGGGGAAACAATGGATACTCCACAGTGTACTATGTCACTAAGCTATGATGTTTGATAGATTAGTATATTAGATACATTTTCCTTTAAGATATTTTTAATTTATGATGAGTTTATCAGAATGTAACCTTCATAAGTCAAGGAACATTGTGTATGTGTATATGTGTGTATGTGTATTTGTGTGTTATGTATCTCCACTTGCTGAAAATACGAGCAAACTGTATTCCTAAATTAGAGTGAGAAATATAACTGTTATATTGTTACAAGTTTTTGATTCTGGAGATTGAATCCAGGGCCTTGTGTATGCTAAACACATGCTCTTCAACTGAACTATACCTTCAGCCCATCAGTTTTTAAAGTCCTCTGTGAAGGAAAACTTCAAAACGTTGTCCTAAGGCATATTAAAGTATAATAAGATTAGTCTGACTTTAGGGCTGGGATTGTGGCTCAGTAGTAGAGTGCTCGCCTAGCAGGCATTAGGCACTGGGTTCGATCCTCAGCGCCACATAAAAATAAAACAAAGATATTGTGTCCACCTAAAACTAAAAAATAAATATTAAAAAAAAAAAAAGATTAGTCTGACTTTAAATTTGGTTGGATCTTACTTTTGGTCAGTAGAAGCAACTTTCAGCTTGACTTGATAAAGAATTATCAATGGAGGGCTGGCGTTTAGCTCAGTAGTAAAGTGGTTGCCTAGCATGTGTAAGGCACTGGGTTCGATCCTCAGCATCATATAAAAATTAAATAAATAGGGCTGGGGTTATAGCTCAGTGATACAGCGCTTGCCTACCACATGTGAGGCACTGGGTTTGATTCTCAGTACCACATATAAATAAATAAAATAAAGGTCCATTGACAACTAATTTTTTTTTAAAAAATTAAATAAACAAACAGAATAAAGGTACTGTGTTCATTTTTAAAAAAAGGAATTATCAACGGGTAATAAAAAAATCATAAAAAGGTCTGGGGCTGTAGCTCAGTGGTAAAATGTTTGTCTAGCATATGTAAGGCCTTGGGTTCAATCCCTAGCACCAAACACACACACACACACACACACACACGTGACTCCATAAGAACAAAAATGACTTCTCATAATTTCTAAGATTCAAGGAAAGATACAAAACAGTAAAACGACGGGCTGAGGATGTAGCTTAGTGGTAGAGCACTTCCTTAGCATGTTCAGGGACATGGTCTCAATCCCCAGCACTACATATACATGCCCATACTCACACCTACACACAACTACCTATAAAACAATACCCAGAGACTATACCACCAAAAGAAACAAAATAGTTCCTCACCAGATACTTCATCCTTTTTCCTCTTCTTTGGCTTGGAGACAGTAGACTCACAAGCTGATACAGATGATTCTGAATGGCAACCTATTTGGGGCACAATAATCTCTTTTAGACCTAAAAAATAAAAAAGATTTCTGAATTACTAATACTATCCAAGAGTAAGTATGGGCCCCCATTTAGAGAAAAACTAATTTATAAAAATCTAAATCCCCAACACAAAAGATGGAATGATTGCCGCTTTAAAATAAGTTCCTTGAGCCCGGCCTGATGGTGCATACCTTTAATTCCAGTGCCTTGGGATGCTGAGGCAGGAGGATCACAAGTTGGAAACCAGCCTCAGCAACTTAGTGGTACCCTGCCTTAAAAAAATAAAAAGGGGGCTGGGGTTGTAGCTCAGTGGTAGAGTGCTTGCCTAGGACATGTGAGGCCCTGGGTTCAATCCTCAGGACCACATATAATAAATAAACAAAATAAAGGCATTATGTCCATCTACAACTAAAAATAAATTAAATAAATAAAAAGGGCTGAGGTTATAACTTGGTCGTAAAGCACCCTTGGTTCAATCCACAGTACCACATAAAAATAATGATAAAAATAAGTTCCTTGAAAAAATTCCCCAACACATACGCATTTATTCATAGATCATTAACTTGATAGAAGACTCTACAGAGTAATATAAAACTAAAAGTTGGGAGCTGCTACCTGCTAATGATCATGAAGAAAATCATGAAGAAATTAAAAGTGTACCGCTGGGCATAGTGGCACATGCCTGTAATTTTAGCAACTTGGGAGGCTGAGGCAGGATTTTAAGTTGGAGGTCATTCTCAGCAACTTAGATCCTATCTAAAAATAAAAATTAAAAAAAGGGCTGGTAATGTAGTTCCATGGTACAGGGCCCTTGGGATTGATCCCCAGTATCAGTACTGCCAAAAAAAAAAAAAAAAAAAAAAAAAAAAAAATATATATATATATATATATATATGTAAATGAAAACAAGAGACTTGATGAAGAAGCTTCTAAAGGCCTTTTGATTAAGGTGCTAGTTTTCCCTCATCTTCAGGTAGGAAACAAGAGTGAAAGGGATTTGTTCTTTTTTGCTGTTGTTGTTAACATAAAACAACTGTGAAGTAAAACAAAGTAAAGCTAAGTTTGCTAGATTTATTGCCTCAATAAAAATGCCCAACTCTCTTCATCAAATTTATCCATCCAACAAATCAACCAAGCAATCAACCTTTATGCTGACTGGGATTAAAAGAAGGAATGCTTTTCATTTGAATTATCCAGCAACTGTTTCTGAAGGTTGCCAGGACAATCTCCAAATCTATCAGTGAAACTCTTTCATTGCTATTTTAGAAAAACAGAGAACTACGCGTCAATCATACCACCTACCGCTGGAATCAAAATTTAGGAAGTCTGAGAATTCCTGAGCCAATGTCTCATCACTGGCAAAGGCACAGATGCAAGCAAAGAAATGAATGCATCTCTGGGCTGCCTCTTCCTTAGAAGAACTTGACTTGTGCGATTTCAGAGTCTGACAGGAGCAGAAGAAGCGGCGCTCAGGCAAGCTTTTGGCACTGATTTTCTGCACAAAAGATGTATGCAGATATCCCAAACTATGCTTCTGGCTTGCCTTGCATTTCACCACCAAGATGTTTTTAGTAATCCTCTGTACCAGGGGACCCGTGGGTTCTGTGGCCAACTGCCAAATGGTCTGTTTGGTTTCTGGGGAGGCCTGCATGGCATTCAAGACTGAACTCTTCAGGGTCAGAGGGGTAGCTTCTGCCTGGCAATTCACTGCCAGTTTGATGTGTTGGCATTGGTTTTCCACAACGCCTTGGGTAGCAGCTTTCAGGCAGGATGGGACGTAACACCGTCCAGAGCTCAGCTGAGTGATGATAGTTCCATCTACTGTCTGGATTGTCGTCTCTGAAACACCAAGCTCCACAAAGCATCGGTAATCAGGACCCCGGTCTCTTTGCCGTACAGAGTAGACCTGCAGATCAGAGCCTGTGATGATTTTGACAGCTTCAACACTAGGCTGCTTCCGTGCACCATAGCGAAATATGGTTCCACATGTCTTGTTCTTACAGCTCAGGCCCCGGGTTCCATTGTATGTGCCACAGCGGGGACACTTTCTGATTCCCCTCAATGTGGCCTTCCCCAAGTCAGACAAAAAAGCTGGGACTTTAGTCCTCAGAGAGTTTGGTTCCATTTTTCACAGGCCCTAGGAAGACAAGCCCATTAGGATGAGTACACAGTCACACACACACACACACACAGCTGAAGTCACTTGTAATATTTAGCACAGTGTGTGTAAACTATCCAATATTTTGAAATCATATCACAAAACAACATAAATCTAAATCATCAAATGAAATAAAAAGTGGATAAAACTAGGGCTGGGGTTGTGGCTCAGTGGTAGAACACTTGTCTAGCACATGTGAGACACTGGATTCGATCCTCAGCATCACAAAAAAATAAAGGTATTGTGTTCAGCTACAACTAAAAAATATACTTAAAATAAATTGGATAAAACTTTTCTTCCTACTTCTCTATACATTTAAAAAATTCTACTGGATAGCAACCAAAGCATTTTTCCACGATCTGTTCTGCACAGCATTTGAAGTTATTTCACCAAATTTGTTTTATCTGGGTCTTTGTTTTGTTTTTTGGTACTAGGGGCATTCTACCACTGAGATACAACCCCAACCCTTTAAAATTTTTTTTTTTGGTAAATTGTGAGGCAGGGTCTTGCTAAACTGCCCAGTCTGGCCTTGAACTTAGGATCCTCCTGCCTCAGCCTCCCAAATCACCGTGATTACAGGTGAGCACAACCACATCTAGTTATTTAATCAAATCTTTAATGCATAGATGTTTAACTTAAGCAAGGACTAGAGAACAGGAAAGACAGATTCTTTCCCTTTCTCCATTCCCCATAAAACCCAGTCCAGTCCTACCTGTACTAGCTTCCAGGGCATCTGAAAAACAGTGTAACCTGAATTTATAAGACTTAAAGTGTGTTTCGTTAGTTTGTGATGATCAGAGAGGACAGGTAAAGGCATGATCATTTGTAGAGTAAATGATACCGCTTAATACAAAGTCTTCTTAATTTTGAATTCTATGGTGTAACAATGCAGACATTCTGCCTCCTCCTTCTTGACCAGCCAATCGCAAAGCTCCTGCCCAATGTTCCACAGTCAAAGATTCCCACTTCCCTAAGTGGAGATTTTGGTGGTCTACAAGTAAAACAAGAAAAAAAATATTAATAACATACAAAGATGAGATGGTTCAGACAGAATACAGGCTGGGAGTACAGTTCAGTAGTAGAGCACAAACTTAGCATGTGTGAGAGCCTGGGTTCAATCTTCAGCACACACACACACACACACACACACACACACAAAAGATAACAAAAGAAATAAAAATCACAGAAGCTAAGTCTTTCACAATTATTTGAGAAATAGTTGACAAATTGTTATGGAAATGGTTAAATGTTTTATACTTCTAACTTCAAGAAAGTGAAACAATGTTAACTTTACTCCACCTCCAGTTGACAAGAACACCTAGAGCCATGATATAGAATTGGCCAAATGCTCATCTTTCCTATAAGTAATATATTACATTCCTAAGAGTGCTTTATGGCTAGGCTTCCTGTTGCCATGTCCTGAGCTGCTTTCCTCCACCATAATCTTCTACCATGATGTTCTGCCTCATCTCTGGCCCCAAGGAATGGAGTCAACTATCCATGGACTAAGACCTCTAAAACCTAGATCATCATCATTGTAAAGAGGCAAGCTTGTCACCACACCCATCCAGTGCATAATTTAACTGTGGATTCTCTGCAAACACAGCTGCAATTGGCGTTTGTCTTCTGCAAAAGATTCACACAGTGAAAAGGTGTTTGATGGTGGAAGTCTCTAATCTCACTTATCAATGTTGTATTTTCAAGTCCACAGAGGTGCTAAAGGAAACAAAAAGAGCCTGTCTTTAGAGGAGATGGTAAAACTGAAGATGGAAAAAGAGCTGGAGTATAACTTTCGTAATTAATGCCAAGGAGAACAACCAGATCCTTCATGAAATATTTGTTGGTATTAAATTTAGATAAGACTAGAAAATTTGAAGTCACATATAAATGTCAACTATTATGATTTTACAAGACAGCAAAACTATGAAACAGAAAAACATTTATTTAATGAACACTGATTGACCAGGTACTGTTAAAAAAAAGAGTGCTTTACATTTTCTAGGTTGCTTTCACATTCATTATTTCATTTGGATTTCACAATATAAGATATCTCATTTAAGCCAAACAATTGCTCTATAGATGAAAATAAAGAAATTATGTAATTCCTTCCTTTCCAGCCAGCAATATTGACAATGCTGTTTCTGCAAACACACAAAAATCTAAGAGTACCAAGTTTCTACCTGTGATTTTCCCCCTCAATATTATGAAAAATTTCAAAGATATAAAATTATACAGTGAGTTCCTCATGTGCCCACCCATTGGGTTTTACAATTAACATTTTATTATATTTGCTTTATTATGTCTAGTTATCCTTCCTTCTGTCAGTTCCTCTCATATTTTGATGTATTTCAAATTAAAAGCCCCGCATGGTGACATACACCTGTAATCCCAACAGTTTGGGAGGCTAAGGAAGAAGGATCCTGAGTTCAAAGCCAGCCTCAAAAACTTAGCGAAGCCCTAAGCAACTCAGCAAGACTGTGTCTCTAATTAAATATAAAAAAGGGTTGGGGATGTGGCTCAGTGGTAAAGTGCCCCTGGTTCAATCTCTGGTACACACACACACACACACACACACATTCCAACAACAAAAACAAAAACAAAGCAAATAACAAGTTTGGCATGGATATCACTATCTAAATATTTATTTATACAGTACTGGGTTTAACTCAAGGGCACTCTTACTACTGAGCTACATCCCCAACTGTTTTTACTTTTTTATTTTGAAACAGGGTTTCAATAAATTGCTGAGGCTAGCCTCAAACTTGCTATCATCCATCTTCAGTCCCCCTAGTCACAGGGATCACAGGCATGCACTGCCACACCTGGCTAACATTTAATGTTTTAAATATTGAATTTTAATGCTTTTTAAAAAAGTAATCTGATTTTTAAATTAGCAGTTAGCATTGTTTTCCCCCCAATTTCAAAGGACTATTTACTTTTTTTTTTTTTTTTTTTTTTGTAACATTGATTGAACCACTTAGCCACATCTGTAGACCTTTTTATTTTGAAATGATCTGGCTAAATTGCCAAGGCTGGCTTTGAACTTGCAATCCTCTTGCCTCAGCCTCCTGACTCACTGGGATTACAGTCGTGTACTTCCATTCCCAGCTTTTGCTGTTTGCTTTATGCCCTGTAGAAGGCAACTTGCTAGTATCTTTCAAAATTACAACTGCATATTTGTTCTTTGGGAACCCAGGACTTGGCACATGTCAGATAAGTGCTCTATCACTGAGTTACAGCCCCAGCCCTGCATATTTCTTAAAAACAACAATCAAGAACAACAACAAAAGACTTTCATGGGCTGAGGATGTAGTTCAAAGGCAGACTGCTTGCCTAACATGTCTAAGACCCTGAGTTCAATCCCCAGCACTGAAAAAAAATAAATAAAAAAGTTCAACTTTGGAACTTATTTTGTAGAAAAGCTACAAAGATAGTACAAAGAATTCCTGTATATGCTTCACCTAGTTTCCCCCTAAGATTAATATCTTACATAACTATGAGACATCTGTCACAATAAGGTTTAACATTGGTGCAATACAACTCACTCTACTACAGACTTCATTTGGATTTCACCAATTTTTCTAATGCCTTCTTTTTAAAAGAATAAACTGTCTACTTTATAATAATTATAGATTTTCAGAAAAGCTGCAGATAGAATAGAGTTTGCAGATACCCCTAACTCATTTTCTTCTGACATTAACCAATAGTGATGTACTACATATTACCACAGGACATTTGTCAAAACTAAGAAACCAGTAGAGGCACCTTATTAACTGAACTCCAGTCTTAGACTTTTTTCTCTCCAGGAGCCAATCCAAAATATCACATTACATTTAGCTATCACATCTCCTTAGTCTTCACAGGCCTGTGAGTTACTATGTTTCCTTGGTCTTAATAATCCTAACATATTTTGAAGAGTCAGGAATTTTATAGAGTGTTCCTCAATTTGAGGTTGCAGATATTTCCTCTGCATACTCCTTTAGTATAATTCCACTAATAAGAATTTATCTTACAGATTGCCACATGTGTAAATGAGGGAAATATAAAGCTACTCACAAGCACTTTTGTTAACAGTAGAGCTCACAAATACCTAATGTCCTTCATAGATGAAACTGGATAAATTAATTATGTCATACATATACATACATATATGTAAAATGGAATACTTTCCCAAAAGTAAGGTTTCCTTATAGCTTTAAGAAAACAAAAGCCAGGCACAATGGCACACACCTGTAATCCCAGTGATTCAGGAGGCTGAGGAAGGAGGATCACATGTTCAAGGCTAGCCTCTGCAATTTAGTGAGACCCTCAGCAACTTAACAAGACTGTCTCAAAAACAAAAATATAAACAAACAAATAACAACAACAACAACAACAAAAACCCAGGGGGTATAGCTCAGTGATAAAGCACCCTTTTGTCCAATCTCCAGGTTACAAAAAAAAAAAAAAAAAAAACTTGGGGATGTAGCTTAGTGGTGCCAATCCCCAGCAACACACACACACACACACAGAGTACATATTTGTGGATACCATGTAATGTCTCAATATATGTAAACACTGTATAATGTTCAAATCAGAATAAACATATCTATCTCTTCTATAAATATATAAACATTGTAAGATACTGCCAAACTGTTGATAACAACGTGGCTGTACCATTTTACATTTTCTCCAACAACCCAAAAGGATTCCCACTTTTCTACCCATGGCCAGTGCTTGTTAAGGTCTTCTTCATTATGGCCATTTGATTAGTGGACCTAAAATGGTATCTCACCATGGTTTTATTTACAAATCTCTAATGTATAATGATGTTACGCCACCTTTCTCATGCTTAGGTAATCATATGGAATATTTATGCTATATCAAAGAAGCCAGACACTAAAGACCACATGTTATGTGATTCCATTTAAATAAAATATCCAGAATAGCAAAGTATATAGAGACGAAAGCAAATTAGTAAACTGAACACAGTGGTGCATGCCAATAATCCCAGACTTGGGAGGCTGAGGCAGGAGGATCCTGAGCTTGAGACCACCCTCATCTATTTAGTGAGACCCTCAGCAACTTAGTGAGACCCTGACTCAAAATAAAAAGGGCTGGAAATGTCACTCAGTGATAAGTGCCCCAGAGTTCAATCCCTAGTCCCAAAACATAAATTAAAAATAAAAGAAAGCATATTGGTGGCTGCCACAGCTGGAAGAAAGGGGAAATTGACAGTAACTGCTAATGGGTATGAGGTTTCTTTCTGGAGTGATTAAAGGCTGTATAACTTTGTGGATATACTAAAACCTTTAAATTGTAACACCTTTTAAAAGGGTAAATTTTGTTATATGAATATTTTAATGAAGCTGTTATTATTTTTAAAAAGACAAAAATATTTGGAATTCAAATGCCAAAGGTCTAATTTCCTGAGTTTTAAAAAACCAATAAGAAAGGGCTGGGGTTGTGACTCAGTGGTAGAGTGCTTGCTTAGCATGAATAAGGCACTGGGTTCGATCCTCAGCACCACATAAATGTAAAATGAAGATATTATGTCCAGGGGCTGGGGATATGGCTCAAGTAGTAGCGTGCTCGCCTGGCATGCGTGAAGCACTGGGTTCGATCCTCAGCACCACAAAAAAATAAAATAAAGATATTGTGTCCACCTAAAGCTAAAAAATAAATATTAAAAAAATCATTATGTCCACCTAAAACTAAGAAATAAACATTAAAAAAAATAAGGAAAAGAAATCCACTAGAAAAAAGGAGAAAAGACATTAAAAGAAGGTTGAGAACAAGAAAAATTAAAAGTGATTTTAAATATGTGAAGATACTCAACCTTATAGTAAGGAAGAGGCAAATTAAAACAAGGTAACAGGGCTAAGTACAGCTCTGTGGGGAAGTATTTGTTCCACATGCTCAAAGCTCTAGGTTCAATCCCCAGCACCACAAAGTGAAAAACAAAAAAGATAACAACAGCAAAAAACCCACACAAACACAAAAAAGCCAAGATAACACTTTGGCAAAGTGGAAAAAAAAGAAGAAAATTATCACTGTATTCATGAGAATGTGGAGAAACATTCTATACTGTTATTGTAAAACTCTTGGAAGAGATATAAATACAATAAATGTCATATACATACTTTGCCTTAACAATTCCACTTATGATATTGCATGTATTCTCACATGTGCAAAAAAGTATATGAAGGGATACTCACTGAAGAACTGTCCATAAATGCAGAACTATAGAAACAGTCTAAGAGCTCATCAATAGAGAACTGACATAAGAAAATTTTAGTGTAATCACACAATATGCTATTAAAAAGAATCAGACAACAGCCAGGTTTGGTGCAGACCTGTATCTCAAGCTACTCAAGAGACTGGGGCAGGAGGACTGTTTCAGGACAGTTCTGCAACTTGGTGAGACCGTCTCAAAATAAAAAAATAAAAAGGGCTGGAAATGTAGCTCAGTGATAAAGCACCTCTGGGATCAGTCCCAAGTACAGAGGGGAGAAAAAAAAAATCTGGGGATGTAACTTAAAAGTAGAACACTTCTGATCTGGATCCCCATACTGCAAAACAAAATAAAACAAGAACTGAACAGATGTATGGGTACTATGGTTCAAATATCAACGTATATTGTGAAATGAAAAAAATCGTAGTACTTTGCTTAAACATGCTATTCTTGGTTTTAAAGGGGACAGAGAATAGGGGTGTATATATGTGTATGAACGTTTACTGCCACAGAAGTGATTTGTGACTAGGGAAACAGTGGGTCTGGAAAGAAGACTTACCTTTCACTGTTTTGTACTATTTTAATTTGAATGTGTGCTAGTACCACTTATTACAGATTCTGTATTGAAAGCATATACAAACACTTAACTTGTAAAGACCCTGTATTTGAAACATGAAAGGTCTCTAGGTAGTCTCTTTTTGGCAAATTTACAAAACAGTCTCCTTAGCAAGAGAATGTAAAGGGGCTGGTGATGGAAGAGTTAAGCCCTGACCGCTCCCTGAAGTGGTGGGTTTTCATCCTGGTTCGATCTGGCTGTGCAACTATATAGTTTGCAGAATGCTTTTTAACGCTTGTGAAACGGTTAGAAGAGAATGAATGACGATCATGAATGTAAACACACACACCAATTACACACACACAACTACACGAGTACCCTCCGTGTGGATAAGCCCTTTCTATGCATTTACTCATGTAATGCGCACACGAGCCTGTGAAGAATTGCCCATCTTGGAGATGAAACTGGCTGAGATTTAACGAAATTGTCACAGCCAGCGGGCATCTAACATGAGTCTGGAATGTGCTGGATTTCCTGTCAAACCACAAGTGAGAGGAGACGGCACATTAGCCCTCCACTGCCTCGGAGGGAAAAGACATCCTTCGGGCACACGTCTGGCAGGCGGCCTTCAGGACGCGAAACTCCCGCTTCCGGGGCCCGCCTGCCGCGAGACGCACATCCCCCGGGACCTGCTTCCTGGCATCCTACCCGCTCGACTGCTCACTTCCGGTACTAAGTAGGCCCAAGCAGAAGCATCACCTCGTCGGCATCCTGTTCCTTGGATAAGCTCTCCGCCAGAATCCCCAGCCCTACACCCCTGTCGCAAAGCGTCGGGACCCTTTCTCAATACAATCGTCTTACCGGCCCTGCGCCCCCCCCGTGGGCCCCAGGGCCCCTCGCGGATGACCGCCCTCACCTCTTCTCTCTTCGCCTGCCGCGGCCTTTTACAAACACGGCCAAACTGTTCGCTGTAACGGCGGTCGTTATTGGTCAGAGCCGCCCACGCGCGGCAAATGCCCACCCACTTCAGCTCGCGTCGTCTTATGGGAATTGTAGTTTTCTACTCCTGGAGACCGCTGAGAACTTCCGGCAGGATCCGGTGCCGCTTAGGTTCTGTCGCTGGATTTAACCCTACTGGTGTGGAAGGCACCAACGCAACTCCAGGGAAAACCGTTACTTCAGACCCGCAAAAATCATGTTTCTGTGTATAGTTTCACTGGAAATTGATGCAAAAGTCGCCTGAGATTTTCTACTCTAGCGGATGTCGTGATTTCTGTTTAGAGATCTTGCCCACCAAAGTGCTTGTTGTTTCTATCTCTTGTATGTTTATGATAAGTTATCCTTTCCTCCCTTAATTAGTTTGACCTATTGAACGTTTTCCCTTACAATGAGCCGAAATTGGCCTCCTGTAATCCTAGTTCCGGCTCTTGGAACCACACAGAATGAACCCAAAATCTTTGAACATGATTGGAGACAGCTTCCCAATACAATGTGTCTCAAAGTGAGGACTCTTAGAAAACCTGTGATGAGATTTTCTGCACCCCTCGCCCTAGTCTAGCTGCTTCTTTCTAGTGGCGCTGTGGGCAGGTTCTTTACCACTGAGGAAAAAAAAAATTTTTTTTGGTGGGTTACTGAGGATTGAACTCAGGGGTCACTTAACCATCAAATCCGTCATGGTGAGGCACATTTGCCGACCTGTGGCTCTGGAGGCTGAGACAGGAGGATTGAGAGTTCAAAGCCAGCCTCAGCAACTTAGCAAGGCCCTATACAACTCAGTGAGACCTCTAAAACACAGAAAAGGGGTGGGGGATGTGGCTCAGTGGTTAAGGTCCCCTGGGTTCAATCTCTGGTACCTCTGCAAAAACAACAACAACAACAACAACAAAAAACGATTATTATTTTGGTGGGAGTGTATTGGAGTGTACCTGTTTTTTGTTTGTTTTAGTTTTAATAATAGCTTTTATTATGCTTTTCTTTCTTTTCTTTTTGGTACTGGGGATTGAACTCAGGGGCACTTCACTACTGAGCCACATCCCTAGCCCTGGGCAAACCAGGATCTGAAACATGTAATAATGGCTGTTATGTGCTTAGCAATGTTATAACTTTGTGCTAAATGCTTTATGTCTCATAAATAACGTATGTTAAGCCTTATAACAACCAGATTTTTTTTTTAATATTCTGAAGTGCACTTTTCTCACATTTTAGCATGTTTGCTATCAGTGTGACAACCAGAATTTTTGTGAGTAATATATTTTCTGGGGCAGGGTTGTGGCTCAGTGGTAGAGCGCTTGCCTTGCATGAGTGAGGCACTGGGTTTGATCCTCAGCACCACATAAAAAAAATAAATAAAATATTGTGTCCATCTACAACTAAAAAAATATTTAAAACAAAAAAGGGCTGGGGATGTGGTTCAGTGCTTAAGTGCCCCTGGATTCAATCCCGGGTACCAAAAAAGAAAAGAAAAAAAATTGTTATATACTTTATACCACGTTATTTACACAAGTGTAAATTAGAATCACAACAGATTTTTGTTATTGATTTCTAACCTAACTTCCTTATGGTCAGAAAACATGTTATTTTTTTCTTTCCTTTTGAAACTCTGCTTTATTTTTCTGTTAACTGATTGAATGATAGCTTCTGACGCTTAAAGTCTTCTTCTTTCCTTCCTTTTTTGATGGTACTGGAGATTGAACCCAGGGGCCCCTCAACCACTGAGCTACATCCTCAGTTCTTATTTTTTCCCCCATATTTTTTATTGGTGTATTATAGTTGTACAGAATGGTGGGATTGGCTGTTAAATATTCATACATGCACACAACGTTTGACCAATATCATCCCCCCAGTTTTTCCCCTGCCCCTTCCCATTCCCTTGCCTCTATTCTACTGATCTCCCTTAGATTTTCATGAGATCCCCCATTCTTTTCCTTTTTCCTCTATAGATTCCACGTGAGAAAAAAATAAGACCCTTGACCATTCTCAGTTTAGCTTATTTAACATAATATCCTCAAGTCCCATCTATTTTCCTATAAATGACAATTTCATTTTTCTTTATGGTTGAATAAAAGTTAATTGTGTATATGTACCATATTTTCTTTATACATTCATCTAATAATGGAAACCTAGGCTGGTTCTATAGTTGACGGCTATTGTGAATTGTGCTGCTATAAACATGGGTATGCATGTATTTCTACGATCACTTAATTCCTTAGGATAAAGACTAAGAAATGGTATAACTGGGTCATATAGTTGTTCCATGTCTAGTCTTTTGAGCAACCTCCACTGATTTCCGTAGTGGTTGTACTAATTTACAATCCCACCAATAGTGTATGTTCCTTTTTCTCCACATCCTAACATTATTGTTTGTATTCTTTTTTTAAAAAATAATTTTTAAAATATTTATTTCTTAGTTTTAGATGGACACAATATCTTTATTTTATTTTTATGTGGTGCTGAGGATCGAACCCAGTGCCTCATGCATGCCAGGCAAGCATGCAATCAGTTGAGCCACATCCTGAGCCCCTATTGTTTGTATTCTTGAAGACTGCCCTTCTGACTGGTATGAGATGAAATCTCAGGGTATTTTTGATTTGAATTTCCCCAATTTCTAATGATGTTGGACATTTTTCATGTTTGTTGATTATTTGTATTTCTTCTTTTGAGAAGTGTCTGTTTAAGCTCTTTCTACATTCTTGATTTAATCCTGTCAGAAGAGTACCTAATAAAGATTTTCTCCCATTCTGTAGGTTCTCTCTTCACATTCTTGTTTTCTTTGCTGTGTAGAGCTTTTAAACATTTTTGGTTTTTTCTTTTGATACTAGTGATTAAACCCAGTGGTTTTTTTTTTTTTTTGGGGGGGGGATACCAGGGATTGCTTAACCACTAAACCACATCTCCAGCCCCTTTTAAAGTATTTTATTTAGACAGGGTCTTGCTAAATTGCTTAGGGCCTCACTATGTGCTGTCTTAATTCTCTGCTTCTCTATGGAACAGATAATACTAATTCCATTTTGCAAATGAGAAAATTAAAGGAGAGTCTTTCGCCCCACTGGTTTGTCTCCATACTTAGAATATGCTTTGTGTGTGTGTGTGGTGCTGGGGACTGAACCCAGGGCTTTGTGCATGCTAGGCAAGCACTCTACCAACTGAGCGATTTCCTCAGCCCCCAGCACTTTTGATTCATCAGTTTAGTATTACCTTTCTATTATTATATGCATCTTAATTCACAGACCTTTGTCAATAGAACTTTTTTTTTAATTGATCCCATTTCAGAGTTTCCCTTATTATGACCAGTACATGTTAAGTTTTTTTTACATCCCCCATACTGCTATAAAAATGTTCCATTATCTGACTCTACACAGTTCAACCTAATAACCAGGTCTACGCCTCTGACCATCAGTGTAGACTGGCTGCCAAGTGGTTTCAAAGCCATCATCCTAGCACTTCCCTTTATCCATTCCTGTGCTGAATCCCATCTCTAGACACTCCATCATACTTTCTTTTTTCCCCATACTGGACCTACCACTGAACTATATATATCCACAGTGTTTTGTTTTTTTTTTTTCATTTTGAGATGAAAAAAAAGTTGTCAAGTTGCCCAAGCTGGCCTTGAACTTATCATCTTACCTTAGCCTCCTCAGTGCTTAGGATTATAGGTGTGCATCACCATGCCAGGCTAATTCATAAAAATTTTTGGAGGCAATATCCTATTGACCCCTAGTTTTCAATGTTGCTGTTGAGAATCAAAGTCCAGTATTATTCTGTCCTTTTTCCATTTCACAACTTTTAGAATGTTCCAAAATTTCTTAGTGGTACAGGTTTTTAATTCAATAATAGCTTTTTTATGATCCCCAAACCTATCATTTCATCAGGAAAAAATTTCAAATTCCACTCACAATATCAAGTTCTCTTCCTGGAGTCTGATTAGTTGTATACTAAGTCTCCTAAATTGGTCCAACTTTTTTTTTTCCCCTTTGCTTTTTTTCTCCATTTTAAAAAAAACTGGCGATTATATCTGTACATAATAGTGGGATTTGTGGTTGCATATTCATACATGCACACAACCATGATTTGCTCAATACCACCCCCCAGTATTTCCCCTTTCCCTCTTCTCTCTCCTCTGATCCCTTTCCTCTGTTCTACTTATCTATCTTAGATATTTTCATGAGCTTTCCCCCTCCTCCACCTTTCTTATCCTTTCCCTTTAGTTTCCACATATTAGAGAAAACATAAGACTCTTGATCTTCTGAGTTTGGCTAATTTCACTTAACATAATAATCTCAAAAGAATTGGAATGCTTTACAAATTTGCCTGTCATTCTTGTGCAGGGACCATACTAATTTCTGTGTTTTTCCAATGTTAGTATGTGCTGCCAAAGCAAGTACTTCTCTTTGCTTTTGATTTCTCTTCAAAGACTTTTTTTTTTTTGAGAGAGAGAATTTTTTTAATATTTATTTTTTAGTTTTCGGCAGACACACATCTTTGTTTGTATGTGGTGCTGAGGATTGAACCCGGGCCGCACGCATGCCAGGCAAGCACGCTACCGCTTGAGCCAGATCCCCAGCCCCCAGTATGTTTTATTTATTTTTATGTGGTGCTGAGGATCAAGGCAAATGCTTTGCCCCAGCCCATTTCCTTATCTTTTAGTATTTCTGACTGGCACAATTCAAAGTAGGATGACTAATGGCCAATTTTTGTTTTTGTTTTGGTGGAGACTTTCAAATGTCAGTGCCTGCCTTTTGGTAGTCATTCAGTTTTTCTCACAGAAGGATCCTCCAACATCTTGCCTGATGGATATATATATTCTAGAGCTGAAGAAAGATAAGATGCTAGGGAATATGAATTTATACAGTAAATGTTCCTTTTCTGTACAGCATGGCCTAGTAAGGAAGTGTACTGTTTCCTTTTTTCAGTTGAATTCTTATCAGAGTAACATTAGCCTCCCATTTCAGAAATCATTATTACTGGTCAATCTTGGTAAAAATCTCAGTTCCAAATCCAGTGCTGCAGATGACTGAATAAAACAGAAATTTTTAATAACTAAAGGGTACTCAAGGTAATCCACTATAAATACTTTATAGACTTTATATTTGGTTAATTCCTTATATGATATCTATGTGAATTAAAGTCTCCAAATGAAAGGAGAAAAATCCTATTCAAATGGAACATACTCAATCATTTTATTAAAGCTTTTAAATTAAAATTCAGAGTTTTGGAGTTATGGTCTTTAAATCCTAAACACAGCAGTCAAAATGGAGTGGTTGAAATAAGATGTAATAGGAATAAGCCACTATAAAGGCATAAATGTTTCTAAAAATCATTTAAGAGGTTTGCTTTTTTATTTTCTATAAATACATTTTTTAAAAATATTTATTTTTTTAGTTGTGGTTGGACCCAATACCTTTATTTATTTATTTTTATGTGGTGCTGAGGATCGAACCCAGGGCCTCACATGCGCTAAGTGAGCGCTCTACTGAGCCACAACCCCAGCTCCAAACACTTTTTTTTTTCCTAATTCACTTATTAGTGAATTTAGTTACTCCTTTTGTAAGTGCAATCTAGTCCTTTTCGATTGCCTTTTTAAATGGGACTCTAATGCATACATAAGGAAGATGACCAATCACAGGAATAAAACAGGAGAATAAAAACTAAAATGTGAATCTCATTTTCAACAGGAGACAATATTAACAAGGAAAATGAGACCCTAGTTTCACATTTAGTTAAAACTGCAAAATGCAAATTCTTTGTGGTATTAAACAGCTAACCCAATGCAAACCACGGTTTTTGGAATAAGAATTAAAATATATAAACATCTGAATGAGTGAATATAACAATCAGCTAGACCAAAAAGAAAAAAATTCTCACACACAATAATCACTGCCAAGAAGATCCCACAGGTTATAGAAAACATAAAGGAACTTTAATATCCAAACAGGGTAAAGAATTCTGGATTAAAATGACCCATTAAGAGTGAATCATTTCAGGTTCTTTACAGTACCAGAAAGTCTGAATTCATATTGCAGAGAATGAAATTATTAAAAATTTTAATTTCCTTACCTGATACTAATTCCAGTATGATTTTTTAGACTGAAAAATCTTTAAATGACTTGTTTTAACACTAAGGTTTAAACCAAAGTTAGCAATGTTTCTGAAATATGAATTTGTTCAGTAGTGACCTTTTCATTCTGAATACTGGGTATCTCTTTCTCCTCAAAAAGTAGTCAATGTACAGTTGAAAGCTTGTACAGTAAGAAAATATACTGGCAAATAAAAACTGTTACTACTTGAGATAGTCAAAATGAGAAGAAAGCTACACTTGTGTTCAGATTAAATTACTTATGCCCAAACAATTTACCCTGCAGTCCATGAGTGTATAGGAAAGTACTTTTTAATAAGAGAAAAATGAGGCTCCTAAAATAGAAACATAAGCCAGAAGAATCTAAAAATAGCTTCCTGATATTTTATTTTGAGTATTTAAGCTGCTTTTGGTTGCATGCCCTGATCTGTAGAAGTTAACAAGGAAATAACATTTCCAAGTATTTAAAAAATTTACTCATCTTCCATAAAGCAACTTTTAATGTATTATCAACACTTAAAAATACACAGTGATTTAATGAAACATCAGTACAACTGCATAGAATTGAGCTCCAGAAAACTATACACTTACAAGCTGTCTTTCCTGGGCTCTGGTTTACAAAGTATTATTGGCTTAGAGACCAGCTTAGAGTCATTTGTCCTACCTGGAAGATACAGGCCAGGAAACTCATTTGACTTCACAGGCCTTTTTGGTTCCTAAATAAAATACTGGGAGCTCTCGGAGAATCTTAAAAACCACCAACCATTTAAACACATACACTGGGGACCCTTCCTCTCTGTAAGTCAAGGAGGATTTGTGACCTTCACTGAAAACAAAACAAAAATCACATCTCCCACAACTCTTCTAAGAGACTCTGAAATGTACTAGAAATTTCAAAACTAGAACAATGCCATCAAAGATTAAACCTCTTAATGCTTGGAGCCACACCAAAATAATAAAATTGGTAACTCCAATAAAACAGGTACCCAAAGAATCAAAATAGTGATTGCACTGAGGATTCTCTTCTTTGAAGGCTGTTTAAGGAGGTAGGATTTTAAGGTTTTCTTTTCTTTTTTTTTTTTTCTTTTGTTTGTTTTTATTTATCTTTTGGCCTCTGAACATTTAAAAAATGCTTTGCCCGGCTGGTCCTTCAGGCTATTTTTGGAGTTTATAATGAACCCCAAGCCTGACGTAAGGATATTCTATAGTTTCACAGCTATCATTTGTACATATTAAGTTGATTTACTCTTTTTAAGTAAATCTAACTAGAAAATGGCAAATTATATTCCTTTACATACAACTTTGTGTCTCAAAGTTCTTGAAAAACAAGAGATGATTTTGTATTCAAAGACTACCAAAGTATGTATTTGATATTCACATGCAAACAACCTAAAACCTTATAAATCTCATGTCAACTCTGCATGATGCCTTTAAAAAGGAAATGACATACAAAGTTTGTAACTGTGCAAAATATTAAACTGCTAAAACATTTTACATAATGAAATAATACATGTAAATGTATAAGTTGACACATGAAAGTTACATGGCATAAGAACTTATCACATTTCAGAGATTTTTCTTGAGTAACAAGTTTTTGTTTTTACAGTTCCTGGTACACAGCAAAGTTTATCACAGAAGATAAAAATCCTTTTAAACAAATCCAACGGAATTCTTGAGGCACCTTCTCATATAAAACACAAGATGAATGCAATTATCAATCCATCTGAGAAAAGTTTTCAATCTAAGTGAACATCATTTTTTCCCATTTAACTATATTCTACAGAACTTTAATAAGGCAAGACAAATTTGTGAAAAAATGTAAATACAAAAATGATGTAAACTAATAATTTATATTTAAAAACCCCAAGGGGTAACAGTGAAGATGGGACAGCTCAAACAATGCCTATTATTTTTTTAATCTAAAACAGAATTGTGCACAAGCTGAAGATAACAAAGAACTTCTAGACTTTGCACAGTTTTGGTTTTTCTTTCTTTCTTTTTTTAAAACCATCTTTACATTACATGTTTTAAATCATATCAGGAATGCAAACTAGAACTGCACACTACTTTAGTGGAAAAATGTTCAACACTGTGCAATTTTCTGCCTCTTAATTTTTAAAAAGTGGCAGCAATCCCTGCATTTGTATTTGAAACAAGGATCTGAGAAACTTTATCAAAAAAGGTAATGAAGGCAAAAATTGGCAGACATCCAGCATCTTGTTTCTTTTTAAAAACAATGTGGATGATAAGTAATTTCATGATTAAAAAATGAATCTTTTAAATAAATACATTGTATCTGATATATGCACTGACTGATTTGATAAATCTTTTAAGTAAACAACGGCTTTACTACACTCCCTGTAGCCTCAAGCCACTGGCTTTATATTCTAGAGTCCTTTTTCACTGGGTTTCATACCCTGCCACTCGATACCCCGCTGGCTGATTAGGCAACATGCTGCCATTCTGTCCTTGAGGTGGCTGTACTCCGTAATTTGGTCCCATCCAAGGTGCAGAAGACTGTGTCTGACTGGTAGAGAAGGTGAAAGAAGCAGAAGAGAAGGGACATCTACCAGTTAAAACAATGCAATGCTAAGAACAAATCACAACATGGAAAGGGAAAACATACTTTTTCTTAAACCCAAATATAAAAGTAACTGTAAAGCCAGAGAAAGTAAACGCAAAAGTAAAGTAAAAAATCTGTATATTCTCCCTCTGAGTTGTACTTAAACTGAGTAAGATACTACCTGAAAGAAACTCCATCATTTGGTATAATAAATACTAGCATTTAGGGCTGGGGAAGTGGCTCAGTGGTAAAAAGCTTACCTCACATGTACAAGACCCTAGGTACAATCCCCAGCACCCAACAAGATAAAACAAAAAAACTAGCATTTATATTACTTAAAGAAATTAAAATAAGTATGAGCATGTGTTACTCATAAATTTTTCAACATTGTATGTGGTGCTGAGGATCAAACCCAGTGCCTCACGCATGTGAGGCGAACACTCAGCCACTGAACTACAACCCCAGCCCCTATACTACTCTTTTGTTTCAGTTGCTGATATGCTATTAGAAAGAAGATGACCAGGGACTGAAGAAACTTCAGGGCCAAGTGAGCACAGCCAGGGGTGCAGTGGCAAGAACCAAAAGTACCTGGGAGGCCAGGATAATGCTGGTGGCGTGTATTATTACCATAGAATCAATTCTGACAAATAGCACTTGGTTACTTTCGAAAGATGGTATGAGGTATTACCAAAAACTGTCAGACTTAATAAACCAAGCTGTCAGACTTAATAAAATGTGAACGTTGGTCAGTGAGCAGATAAAGTGCTGCCAAAACAAGCCTGGAACTGCTGCCACCAGTGATGTGGTGCAATTTAGCTACTACATTTCTGGGAAAGAGAAAGTTCTCAAAGTAGCCAGTCATCATCATCATCAAGTCCAAATTCCTCTCTAGAAGAGCTGAGGAGATTTTTTTTGTGTGACTATGTCCTTGGTAGCTAAAAGCCATGTGGAGAGAAGTTCACTAAATGCAAACAAATACTTTACTCTTGGGTTGAAAAAATGTGCATCTAAGAATGGCTAAGTGACCATTAGTCATCTGAAAGGCTTAACAACTATTAAGCACTTTTTTCCCTCACTAAAAAAATTAGTTGATTTTTTTACCAAACATTAGCAGAATTTGTATGACTCTGATTATACTTCAAGGCAACAAGTTTCTAGGAAAAATCAACAAGAAGAAGGAGGAGGAAAAAAAAAAAAAAAAACCCAGACAAACAAAAAAACATCCCCCGCCCCGGGCAGTACTGGGGATTGAACCCAAGGCCTGCACATGCTAGGCAAATGCTCTACCACTGGGCTACATCCCCAGCCTTCTAGGCAAATTTTTAAAGGTAATTATTTAAAACTATAAATTAGGCAGGCATAGTAGCACATGTGTTTACTGTCAAGACACTCAAGAAGCTGAAGCAGGAGGATTCCAAGTTTGAGGACAGCCTGGGCAACTTAGTGACACCCTCCCTGTCTCAAAAAATAAAAAGTTCTGGGGATGTAGCTCACTGGTAAAGTGCTCCTGGGTTCAATCTCCAGTATCAAACCAAACCATAAATTACTATTCTAAAAGTAAGTCCTTCAAAGGCTACAGTTGTGCTTTGCACAGGGGGCCACATTGCCTACTAATTACTTAAAATTTCTTTTGGACATTTTCTAATGTTAATAAAGCAAAAGGTCAAACATGCTTACTTAAATCCCTGCTGGTTCCATGCCTGGCCATACATTCCATATGCAGGTACTTGCCATCCATTAGGCATATACTGGCCAATCTGTTGTGCGTTTCCATACCACTGGCCCCACTGGCCATAAGCTTGTGGATATCCAATTTGATTCTGCTATTAGGTAAAATTATAAGAGATAATTTAGTATTATTTAAAATTATTTGTATATATGCAGCTCTTGATATACCACAAATACTTAACAAAACATATATAAAACATTTTATAATTAAAATGACAGGATAAACAATAATTTAGTGATTACTAAAACAAAACAAAACAACAAAAAACCCTTAGGGCCGAATGGCATGGCCCATGCCTGTAATCTCAGCAGTCAGGGATGCTAAAGCAGGAGGATCCAGAATTCAAAGCCAGCCTCAGCAACTTAGGAAGGAGCTAAGCTACTCAGTCAGACCCTGTCTCTAAATAAAATACAAAAAAGGGCTGGGGATGTGGCTCAGTGATTAAGTGCCCCTGAATTCAATCCCCGGTAACAAACAAAAAAACCCTTAGGTTCTCCTGTTGCAACTCTACATCATTTTCTATAGTCTATAAGGCAGTGATAATGCCCCAACAATAAACTTAATATAATGTTTAAGTGTTTGGTAAATTATTTACTTAAATGAAGAAATCTATATAGTTTAGGATTTTCTTACTCCCACCTCTCTGCTCCACTTATAACTTCCTCAAAAAAATCTTTATGAGATCAAGTTTAAAGTTGCCTAGAAAAACTTAATGCCCTGTTAGGTTTGTCATAGCATTTTAAAATTCACTGTGTGAGCATGAGACAATTGAGGCAGTTACACTCATCATGTCAGCACTGCAATCCATGAAAACACCACTCTGGAACTATAATACATATAGAAAGAGCTCTTATATATTATGAATTGAACTAGAAACTTATTAACAAAGATTATCAACAATTCTCATTTTAAAATAACCTTACTAATATTAACCCAGCAATTACTTCCCAAAGTTCAGGACCCTCTTACCTGTTGCACAGGATTTATCATATCAAGAGTTTCTTTGCCCCAATAGCATTTCACAACATGACCTTCAATAGTAGTACCATTAACAGAAACAATTGCATGTGCGGCACTTTCATGGGAATTAAACCTATTGAAAACAATATTAAGAATCAATAAAAATTCTTTTAAATTGAATTTAAGAATAAGACCTATTTTTAAAATCAAGGCAAATAAACTCGATAGCCGTTTGGCAGGGGAAAAAAGATCAAGATGATCTTAAGGTAGAACAAGCAGTTGGTTGGTTTTCTTTGCCATTTCTTTCAAAGATCTTTTAGTTCTGGAGAAACTTTTCTAAATAGAGGATATGTTTTATTGGCCTTGTGTTGGAAGAAGGGAGAATAAAACATACAGGAGCAAAAATGCTGTATGCTAGAGAAATTTCCATGTCTTTATAAATGAGGTAAATTCTTAAGAAACCATTGTTAAATGTTCAGAAATTATTTGAGGGGGGAAAGTTTTCACAAAAACCATCCCTACCTCACAAATGAATATCCTTTATCTGGAAAGACTCGAATTTCCATTATTTGCCCAAATGGTGAAAAAGTCTGACGCATTAGTTGTTCTGTTAGACAAAAAAACAAAAGAAACCACACTCAGTTATAGTAAAATCCTAAAAATATTAAGCTTCTTAGCTTAAAGATTAATTTCCAGATAGCACATAGGTAAAGCTCCCATACCTGTTAGTCCAGAAGTAACACCTCCACAGTAAACAGTACAGTTGCTTGGACTAGACTGATTTACAACCTCATCATATGATAGCTGTTTAGTGTTTGCTGGAGAAGGAAAAAGTTTTACATTTTCAATTCATTAAATAAATGTTCAGAAGGACAAAAGCAGCATTAACTACACTACTATAATAGCAATATTTGATCAAAATGCTTAGAGAACACACATTACATTTGACATTAGGATTAAACCTCCCCCAAGAATGTCTAAAAAATTAGCCATTATTCTCTATGTAATAGGAGACTTGACATTAGAGATTGAATATCATTTACTATTTAAAAATTACAAAAATGAAAACTAAGTACATTTTTGAACAGTAGTCTTGATTTGCTTCTCATCTATTTCTGCAATAAGTCTCCGGGAACAGCTCTAACATTTACAATCTAGTGTATTTTTCTCCAAAATTCCACATTTCCTTTTCTTCTCCAATACACCTACACTCATATGTACTCTTTGGAGCTGGAGGCTTTCGGGTTGCCCAGTTAGTTCTGATTTGTCGTCCACCAAGCCATTGGCCACCCATCTGTTGAATAGCGTTTTCGGCATCCTGTTCCGCACAATATTAGAAATGACAAAGAAGATGCCATTAGTAGATAGTAAACAACTTTTGGCGGTAGTCATAACTTTGTGCTTTTTGTTAGTGTTTTTTAGTGAAGGTACTTTATTAAACAAACAATATATGACAGCTTTCTAAAAATGCAATGGTGATGCTAGGCACGGTGACGCATGCCTAGGTAATCCCAGCAGCTTGGGAGGCTGCATGTTCAAAGCCAGTCTCGGCAATGGTGAGTCACTAAGCAACTCAGTGAGACCCTGTCTCTAAATAATAAACAAAATAAGACTAGGGATGTGGCTCAGTGGTTGAGTGCCCCTGAGTTTAATCCCCCACCAAAAAATGCAATGGTGCTAAACTGGGCGCAGTGGCGCACACCTGTAATGTCAGAGGCTGGGGAGGCTGAGGCAAGAGAAGCCCCCACATTCAAGGGCAGCCTCAGCAACTTAGAGAGACCCTGCCTCAAAATAAAAAATAAATAGGGCTGGGGATATAGTTCAGTGGTTTAGCTCCCCTGGGTTCAATCTCTGGTATCACTCACACACACACACACACACACACACACACACAGAGCAATGGTGCCTTTTAATTATCTTTTTTGGATATCAGACTTTGGTAACATTAATTATCTGAAAAAGTCCGAGTCCCAATCCCCTAATAATAAGGTTAGCTATCATCAACTTTATGCAAAAACTCAACCTAATATAAATAAAAATTTTATTTTACACAATCCCAACAAACTTATTAATGATAGTATTGGGTTTCTCATTCATCTAAAAGTAAATATGGAGTTCTAGGTACTAGGTTAAGAGCTGGGGATACACTGTGGTAGGAGGACAAAAAGCAATTATAAATTGTGGTAGGTACCATGACAGGAACAAAATACTAAGATAAATAATATGTGCATGGGGATCTATTTTAGACAGCATGAGTAGGAAAATGCTTTTTTTTGGGTCCTGGGATTGAACTCAGGAGTATTTGACCACTGAGCCACATCCCAGCCCTATTCTGTATTTTATTTAGAGACAAGGTCTCACTGAGTTGCTTAGCGCTCACTTTTTACTGAGGCTGGCTTTGAATTCGTGATTCTCCTGCCTCAGCCTCCCGAGCCACTGGGATTATAGGTGTGTGCCACCAAGCCCGGCAGGAAAGTGCTTTTTAAAATGCCATAATCTGAGACTGTGAAGAGCAGAAGATAGCCAAGTCAAAATAAAGGGGAAGTAAGCCCCAGTAGATGGAAAAGCACTGCCAGTTCTAAGGCAGGAAAGAGTTTGGTCTGTGTCACAAAAACATGTGGAAGATTAGTTTCAACAGAATCTAGTGCGTAAAAAGGGAAAGTGCCAGAGAACTGAAAAACTTTAAGAAAGAGCATCATGATCTAATCTGTTTTCTTTGGTAGCAGGGATTAAACCAAGAGGCTGAGGCTATTATAAGTATAAAATATATTTTTTATTTTGAGAAAGGGTCTTGCTAAATTGCTTAAGGTCTCATTAAGTTGCTGAGGCTGGCTTTGAACTTGAGATCCTCCTGCTTCAGCCTCCTGAGCCATTGCGATTACAGGCATATGTCACCATACCAGCTTGATCCATGTTTTAAGGGCATTCTTAGTGCTAGAAGAATGGTTTAGGGAAATGGATATTAAAAGGAAAAGGACACTTTGAGACTACTTCAACATTGCAGATTTTTAAAAATGCTGTTGGCCAGTAGCTGTGGCTATAATCTAAAAGAAAGGCCAACAAAATGGGGTACTGGGAAGGACACAGTAAGCAAAAGGGGACAAATCTAAGATAATTCCTAGGTTCCTGCTTCAGAAGTTGGAAGGACAGTGCCAGCTTTAACTAAAATGAGAACAGACTAGGAGGGAGGTGGGGAACAGGTTTGAGGGATAAATGAAGAGTTCTGCTTATAAGTTTAAGATGTCTGTGACTCATCTAAACAAAGACCATTTGATTCTAGTTCTGACTAAATATGCATTCACTAGTGATTTTTTTTTTTTTTTAAGAGAGAGGAGAGAGAGAGAGAGAGAATTTTAATATTTATTTTTTAGTATTTGGCGGACACAACATCTTTGTCTGTATGTGGTGCTGAGGATCGAACCTGGGCTGCATGCATGCCAGGCGAGCGCGCTACCGCTTGAGCCACACCCCCAGCCCCGCACTAGTGATTTTTTAAATAGGAGAAACTTACATTCCATATTCTCAAATGGGAAAAATGAGTTCTAGCCCACCCAAACCTGCAACTTCATTTCCCTACATTGTATTAACCACCTTCAAAACCTATGAATCAATACCCTAAGGAACTCAAATTAATTGTGGCTATTAATCCATCATATAAATTGTTTATCTTTCCAAAATATTATACTGTGACTAACAATAAAGTAAAACTATGCTTCATAATTATTTTTATTTTCTCACCTTATAGGAAAAATATCTTATAATTGATAGATGGGACACGTACATTACTGATCTTGTTTCTTTTCACTTGTCAAGATGCTTTACAATTTCTAACTTTTCTTCTAATATATGGGTTCTTTCCAATACTATAAGCTTACCTACTTTCTTCACAGATTTTTCTTTTTTTAGAAGACAGTTATATTTCATATAGTGAAGACGACAGCTATACTATACAATACATTGACACAAACACCTGATCATCTGATCAGAAGGCATAAGTTGTTCTGAGAATGACTGAATTATAATTGCAGGACATTTTATATTCTCTTTTTTGGCCTTGCTAGCCATATCTAGGCTTTTAAAGCATATTTCTAATTTGGACAGTAAATTTGGGGCAAATGATCATAAGTAGTTAAAGTACATATCTAGACGGTAAAAGTTCATAGGAATAATCAGACATAAGGTCAATGTAAGTAGTCAAAGGAACTAGAAAAAAACAATTTTTTTTTTGAGACAGAGTCTTACTAAGTTGCCCAGGCTGGCCTTGAACTTGACATCATCCTGGGATTATAGGTGTGCACCAACATGTCAAGTTTGAAAAACTTTTTATTTTTATTTTTTAACTTTTAATGGTTCATTCTAAGGTACTCTAATACAGAAAATACATTGCTTTGTATTCATCTCAGGCAACTACCTGTCTTAATATAATGGTGAACAATAAAATTCAAAGTTTAATGCAAATGTAGTATATGCTGAAAGATTTGTACATATAAATTCTCCTGGGCTGGGGTTGGGGCTCAGTGGTAGAGCGCTTGCCTTAAATGTGTGAGGCACTGGGTTCAATTCTCAGCACTGCATATAAATAAAAAATAAAGGTGCCTCAACAACTAAAATAAATATAAATAAATAAAATTAAAAATAAAATAAATTCTCCCACATGTATCCCTGTAGTTTTGCAAGTGTGATCCTACTTCATTTAACTGCTCTGACCTTTAGTTATATTAAAAAGTTTTAAGCACTTAATTATTTGAATTGATAACATACTTACAACATTAATAACTACAACACAATGTACAGTGTATTACTTCATCTGCCTGTTTCTCAACAACTACCCCCAGACCCAAAACCCTGCTAAAAGACTTTTTTATCCCCACAAGGGAAAACAAAAAAAAACCCCAAACACAATTTAATACAAGTCCCTTTCCTTTTAATGAAAATTAGCTTTCCAGCTAATAATACCTATAGAAATCTTTCTATAACGAGTACGCTACCCTTCCTTGTCTCTACAAAAACAAGAAATTTCAAATTAATGCAAATTGGGGTTCAGTAAATATTTGTAGAATGAAAGGAAAATATGAGAAGTTTCAATACAATGTATCATTTTTTTAAAGAGGTTCTCAACCATCAGAGAATTTTATTACTTACTTTTTAATTACTCTGGAAATATAAAAGGGGAATAACAAGATTTTTCTTTCTGCCTTCCTTCCTTCTATTTAGGTGCTTGGGGATTGAACTCAGGGTCTGGAACATGCTAAGCTGTCCCCAGTCCCCATAACAGAGATTTTAAACATCTACTTTTGACTGATAATTTAAATATCTTTACTATGTATATTCTGAAACACTGTATCAGTACTTTGTATGCATCACATGTTAAATAAATGTTGACTAAATAATCAGAAAGGAGAAAGAAGATATCTTCTAGTGAGGGTACTAATTATTGGCAAAATAAAAGATGTAAGAAAAATAAACTTTTTACATCCTTTACTCTTAAAGCACTGCACATGCACTTCTAATTGAGCTCACCCATTTGTTGAAAAAGGAGACAAAGCCATATCCTTTAGACTTTCCTGTTGCCATATCTTTTACCACTCGGGCATCTCTGAAAACAGAAACAACCAGAAGTTTAGGTTTGCAAACTGTCTTCTAGATAAAAAATGAAAATTTTATATACAACTCATTTTCAGGTTTCACCTTCATTAAAGTAAACCTTTAATGTAAATTTACCTTTTAATCTACAAATTTACATGTATTAGCATGTGAGGCTTTATGTTATAAACATGCAAATCAATAACTTCTTAAATATTTGTATATATTATTCAGAAATTGCCTCCCATTTCAAAATGTTTTTTAAACTTTTAAATATTAGACATTGTAAAAGTAGCTATTCACATGAATTATTTAACCACTTATAAGTTTCCAGGCACATTAAATATTGGCTTTCTTTAACCATGCAACTTATAATTTGCTATTTGATACCATATTCTACCTAATCATAAAAAATTAAAATAGAGAACTGGAAATAAAAGAATTAAAAAGTTGTATATTCCTTAAACTAACTAAATTATTTCATTTTCTCGGATCAATTTATACCCCCCACTTTGGGGAATGGTAAATTTTGAGAACTTCATAATTTGAGAAATGTTAAATCATTGAAGAAGAATACTAGATACACTTCAGTTTTAAAATATACAAGAAGATTTTATACTGAATTTTATAATAGCATTCATATTAAGATTGATTGGAAACTATAAGATATAAAAGCAAAATTTTAAAAAAGTCAGAAAGTAAAAAAGCACGCCAACATTTATCCACTGTGAACCGTAGCTTGTAGTTAGCCAGGGCAATTCTGTCCATTCTTCAGAGACACTCTGCAAAATAACCAGAGCCCTATTATTTGAGATTGAGTAAAAACCCAGCCATGATAGCTAAAACTCCATACCTCAAAAAATTGGACTCATATTGTGCTTCACAATCTGCTTTTAATTTAGCCAGGTATGTCACAATGCTTGCTCTCTCAGGACACATGAACAAAACAGGCACTTTTATAACAAAAACCCAAGTCAGAAAGCCATGCAATGTAATTTCATATTCAAGTATACATAAGCATATTTTAGCTCAATATAGAAATTGATTTATTAAGTGTAGTCAAAATGACAAGAAGTGCTGGTGAAAAGGGAAAACTAAAGCAAGTCACTTTACAAAATGTAAAATTAACTTATTAAATTACCTATATGGTACACTTGCATTTAATTTGGTATGTGATTCACTTCTATACCAAAATATGCTATATTACCCTAAACTCAAGAAACATGAGGAGTTTAAGTTCTGTAAATTAGGGAAGTATTATATTTCTTATACTAAATTTTTAATAGGCCACTGTTTATTATATACCTTCTAGAAAATAAAGCACTGTTAAAGGCTCCCTATTTTAAATACTTATCATGAGAACCCTTCAACATATAGTTATTACTTATCTCTTAACAACAACCACCACCAAAAATTAAAAAAGAAAGAAAGAAAGAAAGAAAGAAAAGTCAGGAAAATATGCTGCCAGTTGTCTTTTAAGTTTAGGAAAACTAACTCCTTATATAGCCTAAAACTCAGACATTACATAATACCTCAATATAAAATTATAACATTAAAGAAAGGCCTTACCAAGAAAACAACTAATGTACACATCAGTAATTGTGGGACCAAAAGAAAATCTGCAGACTGAAAATATGATGCCAACATATTTAACAAAACGAAATTACTGATCCATAATTTAAAAAATCATGAAACTGTTAAAAGGTTATTGAATCTAAACTCACCAAATTTTAAAAATAATCTTTATTTAATCCCAAACTAAAATTCTCATTTTTGGAAAACCTGCTTCAATCAAAATCAAAGCATTTAACAAAACAGCTACTTAATCTATTTGCAATGTTAGATCAAGGTTTTTCTTTTTAAAGCTTCAGGAAATATCAGTTTCCAAATATACTTAACTGTTACTTATTTCTCTCTGAAAGGTTTCCCTGAAAAAGCAGTAGCAAAGACCTAGACCAAGGTTCTTAATCCTTTTATGATCCTGTGACTACTCTGAAGATAGGATGACATTTATATTCTCCACACCAAAATGAAAACAAACACAATTCTGCAAGGAATTTAGAGAGTCCTTGAGATGCCAAAGGTTAAGGCCCTGCAAGTCTAGATTTTTGAAAGCAAGCTAACCACTACTGAAACCCTTAGACAGACTGAGAGGAACTATTAAGAAATTAAAAGAAATATGTCAACACTAACAAGAGTCCATTTATAAGCCCTAATCTGTGACTGCCTTAAAAAGTTGGCCATACTAATGAACTATAACTCTTCAAATGAAAACTCCCCAAATTCATCAGCAATGCTACTGGCATTTATTTTGCCGTCTCCTCACCTCCTTATTTCTCTCTTGGTCTGCTCAATACAAACCAAAGCGAGAACTTCCTTTTACTTATTCTTCTATCTGAAACAATACTGAAGCACTAGAAATCCTAAAAAAATTTCTTTCCAAATTCAACCATTACTCCTTAAAAGGTACTATTAAAAAATTTTGCTATTCTTATGCTAATATGGCATGCTTTTCAAAATATTAAAATTCTTCTATGATGAATGCTACCTTGATTGAGATATATATGGGCCTAAAATGTATAATTAATATTAAATGCAAGCAAGATAGTGCCTTATAAAATACTATAAAGGCACTATTATTGTTAACAGTTAAAAAAGAGGGTAAATACTTCGGAGATAAACTTAATAGCTGCTTTTAGATACAATTGTTAAAAATTCTTTTTGTTAAATTACATTAACACAAAATGCATGGTATCATAGAAGTGCCCAAATAATTCCTTAATCATAAATCTAAGTTACTACAGATTATTATCAAGCCAGCAAGACACCTATAAGAATCTATAATATGTACAATGCAAATGTCTCTTAAAAACTAATGCTTAAAATCTTTGAAAAAATAGTTTAAGATAGAGATCAAAGATTTATTAATGGAAAAACAATTTTTTGCTCTTAAAGTCTTGAATGGTCTCTAAACAATATAATATACTATAACTCAAGAGTTAAAAATTAATGTCCCAAATTCACAATAGAATTATTTTTATTACTTTTAAATTGTTTCTAACTAAAAACATTTTATTTATCTTCTGCTACTTACGATATTCTTCCAAATGGTGCAAAAGCTGCTTTTATATCTTCAGTTGTAATTTCTGGACTGAGATCACCAACAAAGACATGGAAATGATCTTATAAGGGGATAGAAGGGGAAGTGAAAAGAAAAATAGAACTTTAGAATTTAAAAAGGACCAAAATTTATACAATAAAGCAATCTTAATATAATTTATGGATTATAATAAAGTATTTAAAAAAACTATCCTATCTCTATAAAAAGCCTATCAATTTTAAACATATTACATCGAGGTAACAATATAGGAAAGATTCTTCTAAAAAGACTATGATATAGCTAACTGAAAACTGCAGTTATATTTCTATTTATAGTCAATTATACTGGTCTAAGAGAATAAACTAATAATATATAACAAGCTTCAGTACTATAAAAATTTAAAGACTTAGTTAACATTCTGAAAGGAATTATTTACTTTTATTCATTTTACCACTATATGAAGGCTTTACAAATTAAAACAGTGGTATTAATTTATATAGACTAGATTGGCCTCAGTTAAGACAATTTACTGAAGTTAGCTACATCATATACTTGGTTTAACCATATTTTGTGAAGAACAATCAAAGAAATACCTTGCATTGCAACAGTTTGATGTTAAAGTATTTGACAGTTTTCTCAAAAGCCAACAGTTTTGGTTGCCCAGACATTACACCATTCAGTTTATGTGAATCCATGTGCAAGTGAACTAAGACTGAAGGCAACAGAATGAAAACAGTAATCCCTTCACTTTATATCAGAACCATTAAAAAAGCATTGGAGAGAAATAACCATCCTATATGTGAAACTTTTCTAAAAAAGACAATTCTCAAGAAACACAAAAAATGCAAAATTTTTGAATACTTTAAAATGGTCACATATGTATAAATATATAATTTTGATAAAGAATATTTGGAAAGAAAAATTACCCCTATGTGGTAGGCCTCAAGCAACATATTGGGTTGCTCTTCCGTAAAGTTTCAGGAGCAACTCAAACACTTGGAAGATCTGTATATGAAGCCCAGGTGACCTCAAGGAAGCAGGGTATCTTGTCTTTTAGTTGGTGAAAGTATTTCTAAAACATCAGCTGCTACCAAGAGAATTCCTTGAACTAGCACCACAGTAGTGGACAAGTCACACTTGGTCAATGCTGGGAGGAAGGGGGAAAATATTGCCAAAGAGACATAACAAAGAGATTACTACCTAATCCCTCCCCCTCCCATATCAGACAAAAAAAATTCAGGTGGTTAGTGAATACCCTTTCAAGAGATTTCATTTTATGTTTAAGAAGATACAATTACCTTGTGAACGCTGTGTGCTGACAACGGTACTACCTGATGACAAAGATTAGATTTGTTCTTAAATTTATTAACACAAACACATTAAATCATATCTTAGGATAACGATCAAAACATTACTGCAAACATGTATGTTTATATGTTTTACAATAAAACTACTGGGTATAACAAAAACAAATTTTCAAAGAGTATAAAATATACTTACTGCTTGTATCTTTCTTTTGACTGCTGGGAGTAGTTGCCCAATTCACTTTGACTTCCTAAAAAAAAAAAAAATTTCTACATTTATATTCCATAAAAACAAAGCTCAAAATCAGATTTGTATCTATGAATACATAAGAAAGATATGTCTGAGATGAAACATTGAACACCAGTTCTGGCGAAGTGTTTTTTTTTTTTTTTTTTTAATATTTTTCAAGTTGTCAATGGACATCTATCTATCTATCTATCTATTTATTTATATGTGGTGTTGCGAATTGAACCTAGTGCCTCATGCAAGGCAAATGCTCCACCACTGAGCCACAACCCCAGCCTCTCAAGTTTTTTTTTTTTTTTTTTAATATTTATTTTTTAGTTATCGGTGGACACAACATCTTTGTTTGTATGTGGTGCTGAGGATCGAACCCGGGTCGCACGCATGCCAGGCGAGCGCGCTACCGCTTGAGCCACATCCCCAGCTCAAGTCAAGTTTTAATGCTCATCTTTTGACTTACACTTATGCCAATAACTTTAACAAATCCTAATCTTTATACATTTCTGTTAACATTCAAATAACCTTTTTTTTTTTAAACAAATAGTATCAATGTATGTTTTCCCTTAGTTTCTTCCAAGCTTTAGTAATTCAAAAATATTTTAGCACTTATGTTCAAGCACCATGATACCAACATAAACACAGGCCTCTCCCCTCTAAAAGCTTTATCCTACCATTTTAATATTAAATGTGAATGACTTTTTATGATAAAGTGAACATGTTTCTAAAATGGAAATGAAACCATATAACTTAAAATTTACCAGCACAAGTCACCTTTTTGAATTATGACAGCTTACCTTACCCATTATCTTCCGCCCATTCATAGCAGCAAGTGCTGCAGCTGCATGACGATGTTCATGAAACTCCACAAAACAATATGGATCGTTTCCAGCTGTCTGTTTGAGAACAAATACACAAGTCAAATTTAAGCTTTATTCTCCCATTATCTTAAAACTATGTACAGATTTTTTTTTTTTGGGGGGGGAGTGGGGAAGGCAGGTACCAGGGATTGAACTCAGGGGCACTTGACCACTGGGCCACATCCTCTGCCCTATTTTGTATTTTATTCAGAGACAGGGTTTCATTGAGTTGCTCGACTCCTAATCATTGCTGAGGCTGGCTTTGAACTCGAAATTCTCCTGCCTCAGCCTCCGGAGCCGCTGGAATTATGTGTGTACACCACCACACTAGCAAGATATTTTTCTTTTCTTTTTTCAAATATCAATTTTAGTTGTAGATGGACACAATACCTTTATTTTATTTGTTTATTTTTATGTGGTGCTGGGGATTGAACCCAGTGCCTCAGGCATGCTAGGCAAGTACTCTACCACTGAGCCACAACCCCAGTCCCCTAGCAAGATATTTTTCTTATAAATTAAGTTTTATATACTTCTCAGGCTATGGAAAATGAATGGTACACTCCAAAAGTAAATTTTTAGATTAAAAAGTTAACACTTTAAAAAAACAATTTTTATAAGAAGTTATCTTCTTAGGCTATACTACAATGCTGTAGCTTTCTTTTAATAATGACTAAGTGTACTAAGTGAAAATAGTTACTAACTCTATTTATTAATATTTACTAATACTATATATGTTTATTTGCCCCCATAAACACATAACAATTTCTTTAAGGTACAGAGTTTCATTAACATTCTCAAATTCTTCTTTGATTTCTTTTTTTGGGGGAAAATTGTGGTACTAGATGCTGAACCCAGGGCCTGATGCTTGCTAGACTAGCACAATACTACTAAACTAAACTATATCTCCATCTCTTTTTTAAAAATTATTTATTTTGAATTACGGTCTTATTAGGATGACAGGCTGGCCTAGAACTTCTGATCTTCCTGCCTCAGCCTCCCAAGTAGTCTTTTTCCATTTTATAATTTTTAATCCTGTTGGTTATATATTAGTTTAATTGCTATAACTGTATACATCCCCTTACTGCTTCTAACTTGCTGAAATTCTTAGCCAACTTCTTAGACCTGCTTCTAAAATATAGGTAAATAGGCTCTGGAAACTAAAGAAGTTCTCTGGTAAGTAAAGTTTAAGAATGGGATTTATGTATGTACATATGTATGTATATTTGTGGTACCGGAGATTGACTATAGACTTCAGGGATTAGCCCTTTTTATTTTTTATTTTGAGACAGGGTTTTGCTAAGCTGCCAAGGCTGGGCTCCAAATTGAGATCCTTCTGTCTTAGCTTCCCAAATAGCTGGATTACAGGCACATGCCACTGTACTCAGCTAGAAGTTTTAGAACGTGGACTTTCTGACACAGATATTTTGACTATTTAGAAAGCTTTTAAAAATCCACTCCCATCAAAAAAAAAAAAGAAAATTGTAATCTCAACTAGATTAGTATCATATAAATTTGCTCACTGTGGGCTGGGGCTATAGCTCAGTGGTAGAGAGCCTGCCTTGCATATGTGAGGCATTGGGTTTGATCCTCAGCACCACATAAAAATATATAAATAAAGATCTTAAATTTTACTTCTCACTGTGATGACAGAAGTAGAATAAAAATCTAATAACAACAAATAAAACCAAAATGCTTTAATATAAAAAAATTCTCTTATTCTTTGCTGGTACTGGGATAAGATAACTTGGATGCTTTGTTTTTACCTTTGTTGGGATGCTAGGGACTAAACTCAGGGCCTTGAGCATGCTAGGTAAACATGCTACACCCAAGTTGAGCTACACCCAAACGAAATATGTAGTTTTATTATAAATTAAAGCAGAAAAAAAAAGAAAAATTCTAATATTTTAGACCTATCAGTGTAAAATGCTAAACAATTTAATAGTTCATTTATTTCTTTCTGTAATCTAAGCAGAACTGATTCAAAATTCAAAAGTGGCAAACACATAATTCAATATACTGGGACTACACTTTGTGTTAAAAAAATTAGAGAATATAAAAATTATGTAATTGAAACTAATGATAAACTTAATGAGAATTCTATTACAAAGATCAATGTTCTCAAGTATAAGAATGTGGTTAAAAAAAGTAGCTTGCAATTAAGATTAGAGCAAACAGATGGAAAAGATCATGCATGCTAATTTTTTTAATATTTAATTTTTAGTTGTAGATGGACACAATACCTTTATTTTATTTTTATGTGGTGCTGAAGATTGAACCCAGTGCCTCACACGCTAGGTGAATGTTCTACCAATGAGCCACAATCCCAGCCCATGCATGCTAATTTGTATCCAGAAAAAAAAAAAAAAACAAAAAAAACTTTTCAAGTAAAAATAAGCTAAGCATATATACATTTTCAGCATGTATACTCAGGAATATAAAATTCCTCATCAAATTTTTAAAAATTTGTTTTTCTATACATATTATCATTCAAGGTTAATACCAATTATATGAATAAATTCTATTGTTTTCTCTACCTATTAAGGTCTGATGGATAGGAATTACCTAATTTTGAACTGCCTAAATCTGAGAAAAACTTGACCCTCAAAAATAAAATTAAAAACACTTTCAGCCAGGTGTGGTGGCATATGCCTGCAGTCCCAGCAACTTGGGAGGCTGATACAGGAGAATAGAGAGTTCAAAGCCAATTGTAGCAATTTAGTGAGGCCCTAAGCAACTTGGCAAGACCCTGTTTCTAAAATAAAATATAAAAAGGGGCTGGAGGGGCTGGGGCTGAGTGGCAGACTACTTATCTAGCATGTGCGAGGCACTGAGTTCAATCCTTAGTACTGCATACAAAAATAGGCAAATAAAATAAAAGTGTGCTATCTATCTACAACTACAAATAAATAAATAAATAAAGGCTGAGGATGTTGCTCAGTGGTTAAACACGTTCAATCCCTGGCACAGAACAAAAACACTTTCACTGTACTAAATGCATATTATTTTTTTTAACCCCGTTTCTAGTCTAATTATAACTTAAATTGTAGATTAACTGAACAATAATTAATTCTGATACTTCAATGCATTTGAAAACAAAAACCTAGATACATATATACATACCCACATATAGTTATCTGCTCTAGGAATGATTAGTAGTTCTGTTCTCTTCCTTTATTTAGCAAATAAATTAAAATCCATTGCTAAGACAGATTTATTATAAATATGCTAAAATCCCTATGAATTTAGACATAAACTAAGAAGTCTTTGAAGTAATGGTTTTAACAAGTATGTCAAAAAGAAGAAAGTTAACTTAAGTAAAATACCCTTACATCCATAATCATTTTGCAGTTTTTACAAGGTCCAATCTGGCTGAAGAGTTGGAGAATCAGAGCTTCTGTTACATCTCTGGAAAGGTTACCAACATATCTGAAACACAAAGAAGAGCAATTCATCATTTCAGATTTGCTTCTTTTGCATCAGTTCCTAAAGTTGCTTACTGTAATATGAATGCTGGGAGATGGCAAATCTTTGCCTTACACTATACTATTAGGAATTACCTTGTAAATGTTTGCCAACATTTCAAAAAAAACTCATATGGATTCAAAATATAGTATGTGCAAATATATTAGACACTGCTAGTAGAATGGAAGATAGCGTGTGAGTGTATGCATATATTTATTTTGGCAGCAGTGGGGATTGAACCCAGGGCCTCACACATGCTAGGCAAGTGCTCTGCCACTGAGCTACACCCCCAGCCCTTTATTATTTTGAGACAGTTTCTCTTATTAAGACGCCCAGGCTGACCTCAAATTTAGCAAATCCTCTGGTCTCAGACTTCAGAGTAGCTGAGATTACAGATGTACACCACTATGTACACCACTATGTCTATTTTTTTGGTTAAGGTTTTGCAAATTAAATTTGTTGCCCTTTAAGTTTCTAGGCATACCTTACTTAGGAAGTTGTTTTTGAAACTCTTAAAATGAATCATTATTAGATGTATAAAATATTTTATGCAATCAATCCTGGGACATATTGTAATTTTTCCTTTTTTGATGTTACTGGGGGTTTAACCCAAGGGTATTCCCCTACTTAGCTCCACCCCAGCCCTTTTTAGTTTTTATTTTGAGGGGGGGGGGGAGTGTCTTGCTAAGGTTGCTAAGGCTGGCCTTGAACTTGTGATCCTCCTGCTTCAGTCTCTCAAATCAATGGGATTACAAGCACGTGCCACCACGTCCAGCTTTTTCTATATTAATACAGAAATCATTTGTTTTCTTCCAATTTTTAATTCATATTTATTTCTATAACATTGTTTAATTATGTAGACTTTGAATATGCAATGAAAAAATTTTATAAAAATCATGAGAAAGTTGTTTCTCAGGTGTGGTAGAGTTCACAAACAGATGGGAAGCTTTCACTAAACATCACTGATCAGTGGAAGAAAAATAAAAGGCAGTACAACAAGGTTCCAGATAATTTGAGTTGATGACCAATGAACTTAATTAATATAAACAGGGCACTACAAGTCCACATAATCTTTATAAAGGGTTTATAAATAAGTTCTCAAAATGGACTTTTCAAATGAGATTACCTCTAGGCATATTACACATTTACTACTTCTGACACGATAAAATACAGTAGCGTTTAATAACTGTAGAGTTCTTTCACCAGGTACGCTTCAGAGAACTTGAAAACTAGACTCTCCCTTAGAAAAATAAACGCCTATACATGTCCACAAAGCATGGATTCCATTTCTTCTTTCTACTGTCCCAACAAACATATTGAGTGCCTACTAGAATAAAACTATTCGAACAGGTTAAAGGGAGAAGTGTTTAATTTTAAAGAACAAACAACATTTAAAGATCAGGTAGAATAATGGCATTTAAAAAAAGAGAGAGTAGGGCTGGAGATATAGCTCAGTGGTATAGCATCTGGGTTGGGGGGGGAGGGGGAGAGAGAGAGAGAGAGAGAGAGAGAGAGAGAAAATGAGGGGAAGCTCTTATTTACAGAATTCTAATTAAGAAATACAGGATGATATTAAATTAACAATATATAAGCTATAATAAAATCAGTAAGTTCATTCATTTATACTAAAATAACTAGGTGAAAGGTTTGTGTATAAATGGATAATCAGTGTGCCAAAGTTATCATGGATTATTTAAATAATTGCAAAGGGAAAACCCTACCTTAAAAATTAGTGCTTTGGCTATCACCATTATGACCCAGTAATCAAAATTTAATTCACCTTATAGATGGGCAATGAGAAACTGTATAACATGTATTAACAATATCACTTATGGAGTATTCATATCAAAGAAGTTTAACCTAATCTGATCAAGCTTAAAAATTTGATTTAAGTTTATAGGATATTGGGCATATAGAGATAATCACAAAAATCTAGATGTTAGACATTTTATAAGACAACTTGATCTCTTCAAGAAATTGTCCTGCATCTGGGGTGTAGCTCAGAGTTAAGAGATCGGGCTTAGGGGCTGGGGTTGTTAGCTCAGCCTGGCATGACTGAGGCCCTGGGTTCGGTCCTCAGTACCACATAAAAATAAATAAATAAAATAAAGGTATTATGTCCATCTACAATATACACAATGGAATATTACTCAGCAATAAGAGAATAAAATCATAGCATTTGCAGGTAAATGGATGGAGTTAGTGGGGTAGGGAGGGGGAGCATAGGAGGAATAGACAAACTCTAGATAGGGCAGAGGAATGGGAGGGGAAGGGAGAGGGCATAGGGTTAGAAATGAGGTGGAATGTGATGGACATCATTATCCAAAGTACATGTATGAAGACACAAATTGGTGTGAATATACTTTGTATACAACCAGAGATATGAAAAATTTGTGCTCTATATGTGTAATATGAATTATAATGCATTCTGCTGTCATATATAAATTTAAAAAAAAATTTTTTTTAAATCCTATCTGGCATGTGTGAGGCCCTGGTTCACTCCCCAGCACTAAAACAACAAAGATCCATGATAGCCCTAATTAAAAAAAAAAAATAGGACTATAGACTTACACGGTATATAGTGACAACAAAATATAATTAATAATCCTTGACTGGATCCTAGATAGGAGAAAAAGAGCTTGTTCTTGCAGAATGCTAATAAATATAGAAGAAATGAGAGGGGAAAAAAATCACCATTAAAACTCTACAGTAGGACTGGGGATGTGGCTCAAGTGGTAGCATGCTCGCCTGGCATGTGTGCGGCCCAGGTTCGATCCTCAGCACCACAAACAAAGATGTTGTGTCCACCGAAAAACTAAAAAAATAAATATTTAAAAAAAACACACCTCTACAGTAATAATTGCTACATGCAAGATCCACTCGTGAAAACTAAAATTAGTTGGTGAATTTTAAGGAAAAACACTTGCATAGCCTCAAAGTCTCTCAAAAAATATTATGGCTTTAACCAGTTAACTGGTGATTTTTATCTTCTGACCACAAATTCTCTTGATATATCTCTCTCTAGGAAATGCACCTCAATCCTCTCTTCTTGAGTGTAAGCTAATTTCAGTGATTCATCTTCGTTTTTTTTTTCTCCTGAGGCACTGGGGACTGAACCCAGAGGTGTTATAAGACTGACCTTCATATCCCCAGCCCTTATTTATTTTGAGCAGTGTCTCAGTAAGTTGCTGAGGATATCCTTGAACTTGTGATCCTCCTGCCTCAACCTCCTGAGTTCCTGGGATCACAGATGTGTACCATTACATCTGGCTAGTTGATTCACTTCTAATCAACAAACCATTTTCAGAAAGCAGTCACTGTACACTGAAGAAACAGTATTTTGAAACTTTCAGTTCATACAAGGTATCTCCTCACAGATTCAAAAGGTATAAGAGACTTGACTAAATGTAATGTATTATCTTGCATTGGATTCTGGAAAACAAAAAAAGATTATTGGAGCAAAAACACTGGGCGAGGTGGAATAAAACTTGTAATTAACAACTTTGCATCCACCAATGTTAATTTCTTATTTTTGAAAATTGTAGAATGATTATGTAAAATGTTAATATTAAGGGAAGCTAGGTGAGACTGTGAGAATTCCAAAACCATTTCTGCCTGTATGTATTCTCACCTAACTTTTGTGCTGATAAAAAATCCACAAAACTGCAATTAAGTCTAAATGAAAAAATGGATCTTCTGGAACTTTAGATCTACTTTGCCAAAGGCAGAGATCTATTGACAACTGGGTAGTTTTTAGAACTTTAATCTTATCACTTACTCTTTGCAAAATTGTCTAAATTCAAATATTTTCTGATACTTGATTTGAAGATAGGTAATAATTAGCAGTAAGAACAAGCTGGTTTAAAAGAAACACTGGCCAGGCAGTGTAGCATGCCTGTAATCTCCATCATTCTGGAAGCTGAAGCAGGAGGTTCACAAGTGTGATACTAGCCTCAGCAACTTGGCAATACCCTGTCTCAAAATTGAAAAGGGCTGGAGATGTAGCTCAGTGGTTAAGCACCCCAGGTTCAATCCCCAGTACCAAAACACTTTTTGGGGGGTATGCAGCTACACACACATACCCACACAGTTTGTATTGTCTTTATGTTTACTTGCTTAATGTAGCCTGTAATAATCTCCAGGAGCCTCCATCAATTCATCCCACACATAGCTGTTTATTCTCTTTTGAGGAAGCTGTACACAAAACTTGCTCTCAATCTTGGACATCATTACAATAGACTATAGGTAACAATATATTTTCATATTAATCAATGACAAAATCTTTGTGCAAAAAAATAAAACCCATTATAGTAATCTTTAACTTTTTACCAATATGTCAGTCACTAATACCTCAAATTTTTATAAACAATGCTATTACAAGTATATTTGCTCAAAGCCTAAAAATACGAAATCTGCAGATCCTTTTAATACACACTAGTGGGGCACAGTATTGCATGCCTGTAATCCCAGTGTCCTGGGAGGCTTAGGCAGGACTGCAAATTCAAGAACAGCCTCAGCAACTTAGTTAGGCCCTAAGCAATTCAGCAACCTTATCTCAAAATAAAAAATAAAAAGGGCTGGGGATATGGTTCAGTGGTAAACTGTCCCTGGGTCAATCCCAGTACCACAAATCAAAATAAAAACAACCCTTTTTTATCTTTTTATACATACTTTCAATGGAAAACAAATTATACATATATATATGTATGTGTGTGTGCGCACACACACACCAGAGAGTGAACTCAGGGGCATTCAAGCACTGAGCCACATCCCCAGCCCTATTTTGTATTTTTTAGTTAGAGTAAGGGTCTCACTGAGTTGCTTAGCCATTGCTGAGGCTGGCTTTGAACTTGTGATTCTACTGCCTCAGCCTCCTGAGACACTGGGAGGTTTTCTTATATCTTGCAAAATGTTTTACAGTTCATTCTCATTTTTATATATGAAAGTTTCTTTAGTTTTTCCTT